CTTTTCCCTGTGTGACATATAGACATAGTACAGTATTATGTCATAATGTTGACGCTGCATAGGATAAGCTTCTTATCCAAAAAAAGAGGTCATTTGAAGATGTCATAATTAGAAGAGTGATAATAGTAATTACTATAGGAATATTTTTATTCCTATAATTATCATAGAAATAAATTAGCAATAGTTACTATTTACTATGTGCTAAATATTGTTCTAAGTACTGTTTGCTTTTTACAACAACACTTCATAGGATAATATTGTAAACACAATTTAACAGATGAGAATACTGAGGTTTAGGAGAGGTTAATTTGCTCAAGAGTACACAGCTGATTAGCATTAGAGACAAGAATACTGGATTTCAAAAATGGGCTGGGCTATGCTTCTGAAACCTGTAATAAAAATAGAAAGTGAGTTAAATCCTAGGAACATGTCTTTTTGGCTTTCATTGTGGAAGATAAAAAAGACCCTAAGGAAAGAAGTGTCTGAAAACAGCATCTTTCTCATGCATATAAATTCAAAGCAGAGAAGTAAAGAATAAAGGCAGATGGCTGAGGCTGGGCCAGCTGTTGGACAGCAGTGTGGTCATATTAAGATAAGAAACCAACTTCCCATCAAGGTGGAGGTGGAGGTAAACACACCACACCTCCTAGCACAACTACAGCAAAAATTACTACACTACAAAACAAATATCACCCAGAATTGTCAGAAAATCAAGCTATGTAGAAGTCTGACAACAAAGGATTTAAAGAAGCTACATTCATCCAGACAAGTAGAAGGGACAGAGATTCAGAGAGTCATGAAGATAGGCGTGGTTGGTCCCACATCCATGTGTGGTAGATAAAAAATGAGAGGAATACCTCAGGAATGAGGGATTCCATCCCCAGTCCAGACCACCCAGCCCAGGATTCTAGCACTGGGAGGATAAGTCCCCATAACTTTTGGCTGTAAAAACTAGTGGGGATTGGGGTGGTGGAAGAAACCTCATCCTCTTAAAGGGCCCACAGTGGACTTAGGACTCACACAGACCCACCTCCTCTGGATTCAGCCCCAGGGCAACAGCTGGGAGGGTACCAGTGACATGTAGGGAGAAAGTGAAGTGCAAGTGGAGAGACAGTTTCCTCCAGGGCAAACTCCAGAGGCCAGGAAATGGCACTGTCCCCACTGTGAGCCCTCCTCAAACAGGACAACAGAGTGGTGGCATGAGTTACCCTGCCCTCATGATTACCTAAGCCTCTATCCCACACAACTTAACAAGTGAGCTAAGACAGGGTGTAAAAGCAGCTCTACCTAATACACAGAAACAAACACGGGAGGCTGCCAAAATGAGGAGACAAAGAAATATGGCCCAAATGAGAGAACAGGACAAAACTCTAGAAAAAGAAGCAAATGAAATGCAGATAAGCAACCTACCAGCTGTACAGTTCAAATCACTGGTTATCAGGCTGTTCCAGGAACTCATTGGGTATTTCAATGCCATAAAAAAGACCCAGGCAGAAATGAAGGTTGCATTAAGTGAAATAAAGAAAAATCTACAGGGAACTAACAGTGGAGAGGATGAAGCCAAGAATCAAATCAATGGTTTGGAACACAAAGAAGGTAAAAGCATTCAATTAGAACAGCAGGAAGGAAAAAGAATTCAGAAAAATAAGGATAGGCTTAGGAACCTCTGGGACATCTTTAAGTGCACCAATATCCAAATCATGGGGGTGTCAGAGAAGAGGAGAACAAGAAATTGAAAACTTATTTGAAAAAATAATGAAAGAAAACTTCCCTAATTTGGTGAAGGAAATAGACATACAAGTCTAGGAAGCAGAGAGAGTCCCAAATAAAATGAACACAGAGAGGGCCACGCCAAGACACATCATAATTAAAATACCAAAGGTTACAGATAAAGTGTGAATCATAAAAGCAGCAAGAGAAAAGCAAAGAATTACCTACAAAGGAGTTCCCATAAGACTCTCAGCTGATTTCTCAAAATAAGCTTTGCAGACTAGAAGGAAATGGCAAGAAGTATTTGAAGTGATGGAAAGCAAGGACCTATAACCTAGATTACTTTATCCAGCAAAGCTATCATTTAGAATTGAAAGGCAGATAAAGTTCTTCCCAGACAAAGTAAAACTAAAGGAGTTCATCATCACCAAGCCATTATTATATGAAATGCTAAAGGGAATTATATAAGGGAAAGAAGACCAAAACTATGAACATTAAAATAATGATAAATTCACAACTATCAATAATTGAATCTAAATAACAAACTGAGCAAACAAGCAGAACAGGAACAGAATCATAGATATGGAGATCATTTGAAGGGTTATCAGTTGGGAGGGGGAAGGGGGAAAATGAGAGGAAAGGTGCAGGGGTTACGAAGCACAAATTGGTAGGTACAGAATAGACAAGGGAATGTTAAGAACAGTATAAGAAATGGAGTAGCCAAAGGACTTATATGCATGTCCCATGGACATGAACTAAGGGGTGGGTATTGCTGGAGGGAATGGGGAATACTGGGTGGAAGAAGCAAAGGGGAAAAACTGGGACAACTGTAATAGCATAATCAATAAAATATGTTTTTTAAAAAGAAGGGGAATTAACACAGTCTGTACCCATGGGTTTGTGTCATGAGCCATATTATGAGTGAAAAATAAAAAATAATTAAAATGAAAAAAGATAAGAAGCTGGCTTCAGTAGAATCACAAACTTCTATTTAAGAAAATACTTGCCCATATACCTCACACATACCTATTCACATCCATGTAGACGCACACTGGCCTGCCCTTTTTGCTCATTGAATTTGTTTTCCAACTATTTATGTTACAAGGAAAGGGATTTTACCCACATTTATGCCAATGCTCAAGGAAAGTCACATACTCTCATGACCATGGTTGTGGGGGCAGTCACAGTTAAAGGTAGAGAGCCTCAGGTACAACGTAATATTCAGAAACACTGAGTTCAAACCTGTGGTCTGAAATGTAATTGTGGTACATGAGTGAATTGTTGCTAGAAGAGCAATGAGTAACCATTGCCATGGAAAAACATATTTACATTCTCATTCTCACTAGACTCCTTTGAGGTAAGTGGGCATGATTATCTTAGTTGTGTAAATTAGGAAACTGAGGCTTTACAAGGTTAAGATAAATCCATCCTGCTTCTCTGACTCTGGTCCCTGTGTTCTTTTCACTGTGCCAGTTTGACAGAGATGATGCGCTAACTTTGCTCCTGACAGTTCCAACTTGGTGCTCTCCCAGGTAGGAAGGATAATGCTTTTATCAAGCAACAGGAAGAACTTAAATTCTAGGTCTTCCCTTGACTTTAGGCTCTTAGAGCCTTCAATGAAGCCATACGTTTTGGTTTAGTGATTCTCCTTCATCTTTAATTCTGATTATTAGGTCTTTGGGTCCATTTTTTTCCACCTTCTGTATTATCTGTTGCTTTTAGCCAATTTCTTTTTTTGATGTCTCTGCTTTCAGATTGTTCTGGCTTCTAGCCTTTGTTTCCATATCCTTATTATAAAATAATTAAGGCTTAATCCAACTATGCCTGATTGATACAGCTATACGACTACCTCCAAATCTGGGAGACAGGTGAAGTAGGGGAGGAGGAAGGGAGAGAGTGGTGCATATTGACTGTCTGTAATGGGCCTGGCACTGTGTTAGGTATTTTACATGAACTATCCATATAATTTTTGTGGATTAAAAAGAAGGATTCTGGATTCTATGGGAAGTAGCCTTACAGGGTGATTTGATCATAAATTTCAAATTGGGCGGGTCATGATGAGTAGTCATGCCCGAGGCATAAAACTTTTTTAGTAGCAGGTTCATCTTTGCCTTAATCAAGCCCTTTCCATTGTTTATGTGCATCTAGGTTAACATACTTTTGAAATAACCACTCTCAAGAGAGCACATGATCTCATTAACTGTCCTGTGATCCAATCCCTGCCTGCTTTCGCCTACCACCTTAATTTCTAATGCATAAAAGCAGCTGCAAAACTGTTATTCTCTGGAGCATTTTAGATACATTATCAGTTTGGCTCATATACCTGTTACAACACTTCTCTGCAGGTGTGGATGTTTTTTTCACATCAACTCTTTCAGCAGTCTTGGATGGTAGGCAGTATTGTCTCTACTTTACAGATGGAAAAACAGAGGTTCCAAAATTCAGAGTACTTTATACATGTTGAGTGGTAGAATTGAGATTCACATAGAAGCCCAACTCCAAAGCTCCTTCTCCCACCATTCCCCCTTAGGAAATTTCAGTCTGGGTAGGAATAGGACTGAAAACTTGGGAGATTCTGGTGCTGCCACGACATGGGTAGGAAGATGAAGGTCCAGGGGAGCCTTCAGAAGTTGAGAGGGGTGGGGTTGCGGGCACTTGTCGGTTGGCCTGACCACTTTGCCTGTGACTCATTTCCTGCCGCTGTCTGTAGTTCTTCACTGCCCTCAAGAGAATGTCCTGGTCCTTAAAGTAGGAAGGAAAGAGATGGCGAGGTCAGGTGGTATGCCTCCAGATAGTCGATGAGTTACTTACCAAACCAGAATTGGAATTTCAAACCTCTGACTCGGTTGTCATAGCGCCAGGTCAGTGCTGATTCCACTCCTCCAACTCAGCAGGGCGCCCAGCTCCAACTCTTGGAAGCAGCTCACCCACTCCTAAGGGGGCACCTGCCCTTTGCTCTTGGCTGTGCAGAATGAAGTGGCTAAGTGTCCCCAGAAGTGTCTTTTTTGAGATCTTGCCAGGGATTTGTTTTCATTTACCTGGGATTACAGTTCATGTTTGGAATCAGTACAGTGACACACCCTATTTGACAGAGCGCTGAGTTAAACAGCAGCTGAGTGGATTTCCTGATTGGGAAATCTCCTGGCCATTTGTCTCTCAGCTAGCCTGGGTCTGGCACTCATTTATCAGAGAAGGAGAAACTGTGTGCATGTGCCCTGGAACGCGTGCCTGTGAGTGTGTGTGTGTGTGTGTGTGTGTGTGTGTGCTCACGCTCCTGAAATCTTTTGCAGACTGTCTTCTATCCTCCTCTGCTGGGCACTTCTCGTCGGGGGGCAGTGTGTGCTAGAATAGGCTGGAGGAGAGGCCAGAATACAAAACTGATCTTACTTATGAGGGGAAACACCAAAAGATTTTCAATGTGCCAGAAGTGCCCCCTTTAGAAGAGAAAGCTGAGCAAAATAAGTTGCAAGAGGAAGACTGATTCTTGAAAATACAATGTGACTGACAACGGTGGGAACAAGGTGTTTGAAAGAAGCCGGGGAGCAGCACGCGCAGGTGTCTTCTGGAGTATTAACCAGGTAGGAGAAAGGAGACACAGATGGACCAGAAGCAAATCTGTGTTCACAGGGGGATGCCCTTTGTGTGTTCTTGACTTTGCCCTCTGCTTCATAGCCCTTATTCTGGGCTGGGGTAATTGCTGTTGGTTTGTAATCCCAGGAAGAGAAAATAATCAGAGGGAGAATATCTAATTTAAAATATGTTATTTCTGAGTCAGGCAGAGAAAGACACATCTCATATGCTTTCCTTATATGCAGAATCTCAAAAAACAAAATAAATGAACAAACAAAACAGTAACGAACTCATAGATACAGAGAACATTTTGATTATTACCGGTTGAGAGGGAGTTTGGGGAGGATGAAAAGGGGGAAGGAGTTGAGATGTACAAGTTACCAGTATAGGAATAGTCATGGGAATGTAAAGTACAGCACAGGGGATGTAGTAATATTATAATAACTATATAATGTCAGAAAAGTAACTTGAACTTAACCGGGGTGATCACTTCACAAGTTACATAAATGTCTAATCACTAAGTTGTACACCTTAAAATAATGTCATATTGTATGTCAACTGTGATTGAAATATTTTTTAAATTAAGAAAAACTGAGCCTCCCCTCTCCTTCACCCCCCAACAAACAGGAAACCATTTCTTGACAATTTGGGGGAATTACAAGCCATTTGAGAATCTCACGGAAGCTAAAGAACATCTGCTTTAGAAACATGGGTTGGGGGAAGTACAGACAACTGTACTTGAACAACAATAAAATTTTTTAAAAGTTATGTAGTAGTCATAAATTGTCTGTCTTTTTCCATATGAACAACTGTAAACCTACTTTTGCTTACCCCTGTAGATAAAGTAAAAAGAGAAAGCAAAAGAAAGAAAGAAAGAAAGAAAGAAAGAAAGAAAGAAAGAAATTATTTTCCTTGTGATGAGGGAACAAAAAAGAAACATGAAAATGTATATAAAAATATACAGAAGGGCTGAAGGTTAATGTTTCAGTAAATGCTATTTTGGTGACAAAAATACACCAACAAATAAAACTAACTAAAAAAGGATGTATTATAGGGTTTTGTGGTTTGACTACAGTAGACACAGAATTACAGAACAGGCACATGATAACTGGAATGATCATTATAAAAAAATGAAATGTCTTGAACTTGTACAACACCTCAAAAGAAAGGACGCGTGTTCATCTGTTGCGCGTGGGTCACCGGCTAGCAGTGACCACGGCACACTGTGGATGGCTCGACAATACGCGAGAAAAAACACACATGCACAGAGACAAACCAGTTTCTGTGGGGAAGTAGGGACAGAATGGCCACCCCCCCTAGTGGGGGGCGCGCTGATTTACCGTCCATACCTGCTTTTATTAGGCTCATTTTGCATAATAACTCAGGTAACGTACAATACTCATTAGGGGAAGTAAGGAATATAGGAAACAAAGAACTCTGCCGGTCTATTGAGTTGGGGGGTCAAAGAGCTGTAAGGCTGAGGAACAAACTAGCTTCCTCCTAAGACCCTCCTCATTCAACTGAGAGCATTCTTGAACAAAGAAGGTTTCACAGTAATTTACATGTTCTTTCTTAGGCCTGATCACCCCGGGAAATCCGCACTTCCCAGTACCGAACTGTACTTCCCCGTCATTGTTTCAGGCTTAGGTGGAGCGCGGGAACTAAGGCCACCGAGAGATAAGGAGATTTTCTTCTGGACGCTGAGAACTCAGACTTTGTCAAAGCCGAGAGTGAGGGTCCATCACCCCCCTTTGCTGCAGCCCCCCAAGTCCTTCTTTTGGGGGGGCCTCCCAAAAGTGATCGTGCCTGGCTTGGGTTGTTCCCCCGTGGGGAATCTTACCCGTCTTTGGCTAACCGACCAAGCTTTTTGGGGTTCGGCAGCAGAAACAGCATTACTGCCAGGGAGATAAGCTTTTGTCTCCTTGCCGGCTCACGGTTCCAAGGGCGTTCCCTTAGCCTTAGCCTAGGCGGGGGTCTCAGTTTCTAATACCAGTCAGGGCGGTTCCCAACATTCATCTATGTGATCATACCTAAAACCTGATGCAGCTTGTGATGTTAGGGAGCACTGCACTTCTCATCTATGTGTTTATGGGACCTGTCTTGCAATCTCTTTGCTCCTTTACAGAGCAAACTTTTTGGGAGGATCCAAGGTACAAATTGGCCTTCCCTATCTCTACTATATACCACTTGTGTTTCACCTGCAGACAGGTGAAAATAAGAAGCAGGAATAGCTGATAACATTCAGTCTTACTGTCAAAAGATCTTTTTAAAATAGTGTCAGGGCTCCAGCCACCATGGCAGAGCCTGTTTTCCAGCCCTTGCAACGTGCATTTCAGGGCTTGGGTCTCTAGGAAGGTAGGGCAGAATAGTGCAGTCCCTCTGGATAATCTCCTCTCTTTTTGCCTCCTGAACTTTAGGAGATACCACCAGGCAGAAAGCAAGTTATCTATACAAGTCTGACTCTCTGGATTTGAAGAAGGTTGCCTCTTCAGTGTGTCCTTCCATTCATTTTGTCCCCTCTCAAGTTTGTTTTAGTAGAAAGGTGGAGCCTGGGCCACTAATTCCTAGGTCAGTGCTCCCATCCTCTGGGACTTCTGGCCCCTTCCTGACCTTCAGGCTCACAGTGGAAGATTGCTAGTCCTGGAACCTGGGCCCTTTCCTTCAAAAAGCAGAAGATAGAAAATAGGACTGGGATCAGATCCAGGAAAGTGAGCAAACAAAGAAAATGACCAAAGATTTCATAATCTGGTGAGTACTGGAAAGAAATTTCTGATTCTACTCTTTTATTTTTGTTTTCTTTCTTCTTTTTTTTATTCTACTCTTATCTTCAGAGTACATTTTGAAGACAGGCATGCAGGCATCATCTGTCCTCCTATATAAGACCTTAGAGAACACAGTTACAGGCAGATTCTACTCATCTGTTCTTTCCAGTTTGTGGTACTTTAGTCAGCATTATGGTTTCCATGGTTGTTTTGGATTTGGACATGAATCCTTCTCACCCCTATTGATCTTGTTCATTTGAGTGACAAGTACGTATGTGTAGTAAGGTAGTTTAAGGAACATTGGGTTTGTAATTAAAAGACTGGGGTATGGCCCTGGCTGGTATGGTTCAGTGGATTGAATGCCAGCCTGAGAACCAAAAGGTTGCCAGTTCGATTTCCAGTCAGAGAACATGCCTAAGTTTCGGGCCAGGTCCCCAGTTGAGGGTGTGCGAGAGGCAACTGATAGGTGTATCTCTCCCACATCGATGTTGCTCTCCTTCTTTCTTCCTCCCTTCCCCTCCCTTTAAAAATAAATAAATAAAATATTTAAAAAGTAAAGACTGGTATAAGGAACCTTGCTCTGCTATTTACTTGCTTTTTTTTTTAAACCCTGACTATTTCAGAACTTACTGTCTCCAAATCTCAGTGTCCGCCTGGCAAAATACCTGGCATACTGTAGCTGTTCCGTATGTGTTTATTGGATGGGAAAACACAGCTTGTTTTCAGAATGTTGTAATTCTAGAGCCTCTAATCTGAGCGTTTCTCTATCTTGCTTCCAACTTAACATGTTTAATCCATTAGAAGTTTTCGTTTGTTTTTATTTCTTTTGCTAGATAGCTCATGGGTAAGGATGGAAGGGGGAGGAGAAGGGAAGGCTGAGTGACTGAGTTGGAAGGAAGACTCTCAGTTTGGGGGCTGCTATCGCTATAGATTTTATCCCTTTCACTTTACATCTTTGCATCCTCTGCCATAAAGTTCATAGATCTTAATAACTACTTTAACCCGGAGTGGCATCCGTCTAGGAAGGTTGGTCACTTTTCTATATGAAAAGAATGTGGCTGGCAGACCCACTCATGTTGACATGCAGGTAGTAAGGTTGAAGGTGAGGCCAGCGCAGCAGATTTAATCTCACGTTATGGGAATGGTACCAGGTGTTCTACAGAGGTCAGTCAGGGAAGTTCTCACAACACCTGTGCAGACAGTATACAGGAGAACGGGTCTAACTTTTTAAGTTTTTTTGTAGGTATATTTTGGTAAGAAGAGTTTCTTTTGAACACTCATGGTAAATTGCTGATTATGTTAGACTATGACAAGGTAACTGGACAGAAACGTCACTAGTGAGAGTTGTGTCATTGTTGCAGACAGGCCTGTCTTTGCGTGTAAAACAGATGTAGAGATGCAGTGTGGCATTGTGCTTGCGTCATGAATATTTATAAGAGTTTGGAGAGTTAATATTAATATTTAGTTCAATTCTAGTTATAATTATTAACTTCTGTGGTCTCCAGACTATACAGCTGCCAAGATTTGGTTTCCCCACTTCATTCTCATTCTCTTCTTATCTGACTCTCCCTCTTCATTGTCTGTTCCCCCCTATATTCTCCCCTGGAGGGGGGCTAGCCTTTTAAATGTGCCAACAGAAAGTCAGAAACAACTGAGTAAAAATAAGAAATAACAATCATAAGTGAGGCAATAGGACTGTTTTAGTTACAGCCCTGCCTGAAGAGATTTGGCAATGTAATTTTGTGTAAACTGTGGGCAAGCTATGTACGTATTTTCCAACTGTCAAATATAGTTACCAGAACAATTTTACAGCTTCACTCTATTCTTACTTCCAACATCTAGAATTTTGCAATATATGGCACTAAACTGAGAACTTAAAATCTGCCAACTTTTTATTCATTGTCTTGATTAGCATTGCATAAAAATGAAATGGAATAATTTTGTTTAAAAATTAAGTGATACACAGCAAGAGAGAATTAGACCTGTAAAAGGACCATCAGAGAAGTAGATCTGTCCCTCATAATCCATGGATCACACCTGCCTGACAGGTGCTGTGACCATGTACTTGAGCACTAGAGCAGGAGTCTTGGGTAAGGGGATAGCCTTCAATAATACCTCAAGAAACAATGGCAAGAAAGGGTAAGGCATGTGGGATTATGTTTTATATGCTTAAGGATTTAACAGTCCAGTTAAGAGAAGAAGCAGTGGCCACTGTAGTGTTTTGTTTTTTTTTTAACACAGTGAGGGACTATCTGGATGTGATTGAAGGGGATAGAGTATTGGTCATGTGTAGAGAAGTGTTGGTCAGCAACATTGTAACAGTCAGATGGGTTAAAATCTAGCCCATTGGGAGACTCATCTTAGAAGGGTTTAGCATCAAGGCATGCCTTCTCGCAGCTTGACACACAGTGGGCAGGCAAAGTCGTGTGGCCATTGAATATTAATTGCAGGAAGAGAAACAATGTAGAGAGGAATATCGTTACAAGTAAATATCAGCATCTTTTGATAGTGTGCTTTGGTGGGCTCTGTGAAGTAAGTTGGCTTCTTGTGTGGACCTGCGTGCATATGTGGATATGCCTGGTGTGTACATATTAAAATTTCTAGATTTATTTGGTATATTCCATTTGCCTCTAGACAAACTGTAACCACTGGAAAGAGTTGGAAAAGCTATTTATTAACTGGACTCCACCACACTATATATTTATTTCCTTGCTCCAGTATCCAATTTCATTGGGTGGCTAGGTGTTTTTAAGGCTAACTCTATAAACTATCTATGCGCAAATAAGGCTGATGTTGAGAATGTTTTCAGGAAATGCAATAAAAGATCATATTGTGTCCAAAGGTGGGTACTCTGTAGTAAAAGTGCCATCTAGGTGCAGGAGTATAAACATGGACATGAGACGCTGGGTGTAGGTCTGTGGCCATGTGCTTATAGTTGGGAGTGGCCCATGGTGAGCATCTCTAGGAGGGGGACATATGTACACACTGGGCTTCAAATGACTTTCCTCAGTATGTGTTAGTCGGTGGGTAGTTTGGTTTCGGGGCAGAGTTCACAAGTTTGAGCTGGCTGCTGAGCGACCTTTCTTCCACTTGTGCTGTGGTAAGACATTACACACAGAGAACCTGTTCCTCAGAGAGATGAACTCATTAACTGGCTGCTCCCTGAATGAAAATAATTACATTTGATAATGCACCGAAAAGGAAGTAAGAAGAAAGGAAAATAAGAATGTGAATGGCAGTGAGAAATTTTCAAATAGCTTTTGAATTCTCCTGGTTGGACACATGTTTCTTTGTAAGCCCTTCTCCATCATTCTGCTCTCTCAAGGCTCTCTGTTTTGTGCCCTCTTATTAGTACTTTCCTCCCATGTGGTCTTATGGGATGGAGGAAGCTTTCTCAACTATATTTCTCCTTACCATTTTGACTTACAAACTAAATGAAATCGGCTTTGCTGTCCTATTATTCATTAACTTCACAGATTCCTTGCGATGTACCCATCCACAGGTAAGAATTTACTTTTCCTCTCTGTAATTTTCCTCCTTCAGGCTGCTACTCTGTGTACTTGGGCTTCCGTCAGCCAGCCACACACTTGTCTGTCTTCTAACCTGTAAGGAAATCATTTAACTCTTATCTCCTCGAGCTTATGCAACTCTAGGAATAATAAAAATGGGGCTTGGCTAGAGCTGGGAAAATTTTTCTTATTTTCTTTTAGAGAGAGATAGAGAAATATCAATCCATTGTTCTACTTATTTATGCATTCATTGATTGATGCTTGCATATGCCCTAGCTGGGCATTGAACCTGCAACCTTTACATATAGAGATAATGCTCTAATTAACTCAACAACCTGGGCCAGGTCAAGAAACTTCTTTACATATGTTTTTCAGGCACTAAAAACTCTTTGCCTCAATAGATAGCACTGTGGTTATATCAATAATAAAACACAACACGTAATGTAATATGGTTAATGTAACAAGTGTAGTATAGTATATCACATAAGCTACAATTCTCATTTTAAAAATTATACCTTGCTATCAAATGACTACAAAAGTAGATAACATATTTAGGATTACCTAGACAGTGGAAAATCACCAGACTTTGTGATTTTTAATTCTGAATCAGATTATTCAGAATTAATTAAGTAGGCTTTGCCAACCATAGAGCCAGAACACTCTTGTTAACAAAAGTAAAGCTTGTAGATATACAGATGGGTGGTAACCACCAGTGTGCTTCAGAAAGAATTATCCAGGATTTAGGACATGTCATTTCAAACATATACTTAATACAGAGAATTGAAAGTGATTCACATAAAGAAAATCTATTGTAACTATAATCTACTTGAAGGAAAACTGGGAGCTGGACAAATGGAGAAGGATGGGTTGAAAGAAATATTTTTATGGTGTATCACCTTACATTTTTACTTTTGAACCATGAATATATTTCCTTTTTGTTTAAAAGTGAGAAAGAGAAGGTGGCTTGATACCAGTACTCCCTTTAGTCAACGTACTGGTAGGAATGAGTGTTTGTATCTGTCTATATGTGATGGGCAGGGGGCGGGGGCTCCTTGGATCTCTGAGAGCTGCAGAGTCAAATAGCTTTATTGCCAAGTGCTGTCTGTTTATTGATGGTGAAGCTGCAGTGGGAAGGTGTTTCTGAGGAAGAAAGCAAATGCATAACTTGTTTCTCTTGAAATCTGACAACTATTTATTCATTATCTCCATAGCTTTTTAAAAAAATGAAATGAAATACAGGGTGGGGTAAAAGAAGGTTGTGAGTACATGAAACAGAGTTTATTCTTGTATTATTACTTATTAATTATTGTATTATTTTCCATATGGACCACTAGAAACATACTTTTTTCCCCATCCTGTATTTTGTTTTAGAAATAAGTGATACACAACAAAATAAAATTAGACCTACATAAGGAAAATAGGTGAATCCTTCCCATATACCCATGGACCATAGTTGCTCAGACAGATGCTATGAGAATGCACTTGAGCACAGAAGCAGGGCCCTTGGGTAGGAAAGGAGCCTTTAAAAATACTTTGATTTAATAAAAAAAAGAAAATAGAAAAAATACTTTAAAAAACAATGACATGAAAGGATAAGACCCAATCAGGGCTGTACTTGCTATGTAAAAGAGAAAAATGCCAGGAAAAGAATAAAGCTCTTCCAGCCCAAACATCAGGTAGATGGACAGAGATTAATGTAGGACTCAGAATTTCAGGTAGTTGTGTACTTAATATCCAGGGATCTGTAGATGTGTTTCAGAGTGCATGATTCTCTGGGTACTACATTTTGTGTTCTTCAGAACGACTTGGTCCTCAGGAATTCTCAGCCGCACTCTGCACTCTCTGTGGATCAAGCGTAGAAGTGGACAGCTGTGTGGCGATGGGAGATGAGAAGCGCATGGCACGAATGCTACTGGAATGCAGTCTCAGTGACAAGTTGTGTAGTAAGTACAGACGTCTATGTTCTGGCCTTAGGATAAGGAAGACCAAGGTCTGGGTAAATTCTAGGAGGAGGATCATTTGATTTGTAGTAGACGTAAAGACAGAATTGATAACGAAATGGGCACTAGAGGCTGTTGTTTTTGAAAAGTGGCAAGTGCCAATCAGAGATCCAGATGTTGCTTAGTAGGAAGAGTAGGAGAAGAGCCACAGAGCACACACTTTTGGGTTAAGAAAGAGGGACACGGATGTTTCCAATTAGACAGTTGCTCCCAATAGGGTTTCCTTTGGATGGGAGAGGAAGAAAGAAGAGATGACCATTTCAGTATGATGAGCTGAGGACTGGTGGGTAAGGGAACTTGTGTGGACATCAGGTTAGGCTTCTTCTTTAATCTCTCATCTTCCTGTTTAATTTCCTACCCAGTTGTCTGGCAGCACCAGTATGAAATCATCATCATCCCAGCCCTTCTGGTTGGCACCTTCCTCATCATTCTTGGGGTCATTGTGTGGCTTTTTATCAGAGGAAAAAGAGCTCAACAACAGTCTCCTGGACTCCAAGGTAAAGTTCAAACTGGGGCTGGACAGAGGCTCGGGGAAGATGGAGATTGCAGAAAAATAAAACCCAAGTCTCAAGGGGTCCCACTACAGAGATCCAGGTCCCTGCAATGGAGGATGAGGCATGGGTCCCCTTCTTTGGAATTGAGAGAGGGGTGAGCTCTGCTCTAGGTGTAGAGAACTCATGAGTAGAAATTCCATATATGCTTGGTAGCTGAAACCAGAATAGGCCAGAGAGGCCTCATGTGACCCATTTCTGTCTTCTTGGTCTTATTGTACTATCAAATATTTGGCTTTATGAATGTCTGAGGATCTGGGAGGAAGACCTACTAGGGAAAGCTCAAGGCTTGTTACCAACTTTGACGGATGACATCTTACTCTATAATGCATTGCAGCCTTACTCTATGCCCCTGGAAGATGTGATGAAAAGGGGTAGCTTTCATAATGGCTTTTGAAGTGTTAGGTAGGAGGTGATAACATGCTGTTCTGGAGTATCACTGCACTTGTAATGAAAGACAATCAGCTAGTACATGAAACTAAGAGTAGAATAAAGGAAAAAATCTGACAGTAACATGAAACTTTATAGTGGCTGATCCTTAATCCCTCTCTAAATTTTATTCCAATTCTGTTATAATTTACTCTTGTAAAAAAAGAACTTCTCAAAGAAGTTGTTTAAACTTACTTTCACTACTACTTGTCACATTTTCTTTTCAATATACTAAAAAAAAGGTTTTAACCCCACCAGTCCACCAAAACTACTCTGTCCAAGATCACCAATGACAATTATATTGAGTTCTCATCTTATTTGACCTGTCAAAACAATTTTGTATTTCTTTCTTCTTGAAACACTTTTTTACTTTACCTCTCCAGTCACTTTCTAAATCATCTTATTTTAAGCCTATAGATTCAAATGCTTTCTCTATTCTAATTATAATCCCCCCTTGAACTCCAGATTCTTCTATTAAACCACTAACTTTGTGATTTAATACACTTCTCACATGTAATATGTCTAAAGCAAAGGCACAGAGATTCCCTCACACATATCCTCTGCCAATAGTTTTCTCAGTCTTAGTGAAAGGCAAATCAAACTATCTGTGTGTTCAGTCTAAAAGAGTAAAGCTGTCTTTGAGTCCTCTGTCTCTCACACTTCATATCCAACCCAATTTCAAAGTTAACTCATACCACTCTCACCTCATAGATCATTGCAAGACACTCCTAACCGGTTTTCTTCTTCTTCTTTTTTTAAATTTTATTTTAATTGTTGTTCAAGCACAATTTTCCATCTTTTACTCCCATCCCAGCCCACCCATCCATTCCTCCCCACCTCCCTCCCATTTCCACCCGCCCCTAGTTTTTGTCCATATGTCCTTTATACTTGTTCCTGTAAACCCTTCCCCTTCTTGCTTCTGCCTCTATCCCTTTATGGTATCTTCTCTTCAGAGTAGCAGAATGATTCTTTTAAAGTATAAGTCAATCCTGTCAATTCTTTGCTTGATATTCCCCAGTAGCTTTCCATCTTAGAATGAAAGGAAACAAAATTCTTTCAATGGTTTAACATGATCTGGGCCCTCCCTGACCTTCTCACCTGTAATTTTCCAGTTATTTCACTCGATTACAGCTATAATGACTTCATGACTTTTCCTCAAATATGCCAAGTATGCTCCTTATTCAATACCTTTGTACTTCTTGTTTCTTTTGTCTGTAATACACTTCCTGATACCATGTGGTCTACTAACTGCTTCTACGCATTTCTCAAATGTCATCACAAAGGCCTTCCCTGACCTTCACACATGAAATAGTATCATTGATGCTTCTTATTCCCCTCTTTTCCTCCACAACACTCATCACCTGGCACATTATTATCTGTTTCTTCTCTCTTACCACTAGAAAGTAATTTTCATAAGAATATGGACTTTGCCCATTCCCAACAACTAGAATAGTGTTTGGCATGTAGAAAGTTTTATTTGTTGAATAAACCAATAAATTATTGAATAAATAGAGATTTAATACAAAGAAAGAATATCTGTATTTCAATGGGGAAAAGTTGGCTCAGGAAGGGAGAAAGTGACAAAAGACTTTTTGAATGAAACTCTAAGAAAGGTGGAGTGTTTTGACCATGGGGACAATTTGAAGGAGTTAGGATAACCGTAGCTGAGAGCTGAGTAGTTGTCCACACCTCCCCACAACATTTGGGGGCCATTTGATGGACTTAAATGATAGTGTGTACTGAGAGTTACCACCACCTTTAGGTATTCTGAATACTTATTCAGAAACTTCCTCAGCTGTCTCCATACTATATTCATACTGAACTGTCATCCTGAGAAACACAGAAAGGAAGTGCCATTCCACTTTTCAGAGGTCATCTTAAGTTGTCTTAGAAGTAGTGGAATTATTACACAAGTTCTAGATGGTTGATGTTGATGCTCATTCACAGAGGAGCATCAGAAGATATCCCCACAATGGCTGGAGAAAAAAATTGTTAAAGGAACTTTCTTGCCAGTTTTTCCCAAGCTCTGCTTTTCTGAAGTCGAGGGTAGGAAAAAGCTGTTTGGTATCATCTCTTTGTTCTAGGCAGTTCCGCTGTGCCCTCTAGGAGCCTAAATGGGCAAGTAGGAGCACAGGGAGGAAGTGTGCTTGTGCCACTTAAGGAGACATCGGTGGAAAGCCTTCTGAAAACTTCCACGCAGGCCCTGGCTGAGCTGCAGGTGCCCCGGGAGCAGCTCTCTGAAGTTCTGGAGCAGATCTGCAACGGTAGTTGTGGGGCCATCTATCGAACCAAGATGCACACTAGGGACCCTGCTAAGTCCAAGATTATTGTCCTCAAGGCTTTAAAAGGTAAATGGAGAAGTGTTAGACTTCTTTTTCCTTTTTTACTCTTCCACTGTGAGCCCCCCTAATAGTAAATGCTAACAGGCTTTGGAGACATTGAGATGTTATTCAATAGTTAGGTGTGATCACAATTGTGTGCAAAATAAGAAGGGATTGGCCAGTGAAAACTCAATACAGAAATGTTCTTAGGCCCTGGCCAGCTAGCTCAGCTGGGTAGAGTGTCATCTGGATATGCCAAGGTTGTGGGTTTGATCCTTGGTCAGGTCAAGGCACATACAGGAATCAACCAATGAATGCATAAATAAGTGGAACAACAAATCAATATTTCTCACTTTCTCTCTCAAAAAAAACAATAATAAAAAAAATTCTCAGGTCCTACCTCTGAGGCACACCTGGAGTGATACTATTGCTTGGTCCTGGAGAAACTGTTTATAAAGGAAAAAGAAAAAGAAATGGCTTTCCTTAGCTCACCCTTGCCTATCAAGGCTGTTCAAACTGATTTTAACATTGGCTATTACTGGGATAAGGATGTTGAAGTTGATTCTTTTTTTCTCCCATTATTTGATATCTTTTCCTTATATATATGTATTTTTTTATTTGCTGATACTCATAATATGGGCCAGTAATGGTTGATGTATAGAACAAACATAGGATAAGCAAGAACATTAATTAAAAGGCCTAGGCCATGATAACGTTTTAATATGAAGAGAACACTTGCCTCTCTAGGCAGATGAAAACCTACCTAGTTGTGAGACTTATGATTCCATGTTACCTTTGCCAAAAGATCAGTGAATATCATCTTCTAATTTGTTCCCTTCCTATTTACTTCTTGTCAATAATCACTCCTTTCAGGGCTTTGAGAATTATCATCTGAGGTTGCCTCCTGCCTCAAATTTCCCATTTCATCCAAGATGTTCTGACTGTTCACTGCCCATGGCTCTTATGTTCTCCACAGAACCAGCTGCGCTCCACGAGGTACAGGATTTCTTAGGGCGAATCCAATTCCATCAGTACCTGGGGAAGCATCAGAACCTGGTACAGCTGGATGGCTGCTGCACAGAACGAGAGCCGCTGTATATGGTGTTGGAGGATGTGGCCCAGGGGGACCTGCTGGGCTTTCTCTGGACCTGTCGCCGGGTGAGCAGTGAGGTGGAGGTGTTAGAACGGGAAAGGCTTTACCTGGCTGATTAGCCATTCACATGTCAACTAGCCTGACAAGTGACAAAGTAGAAAGATAGTGTAATAGCAGAGTAATTGTCACCATCCAATAAAACTTCTTATGATGATATCAGTGTTTTATATCTGCGCCGTCCAATATGGTAGCCACTGATCCCATGTGGCTATAGAACGCTTGAATTGTGGCTGATGTGACTGAGTACCTGAAGTTTCAGTTTCATTTCATTTTAAATAATTCGCATTTAAATGGCCACAGGTGTCCAGTGACTGCTACCACACTGGGCAGTGCAGATTCAGAGTACAGACTTCAGGCTCCACCTCCCACCAGCTATGTGCATTTGGGCAAGTCACCTCTCTGAGCCCGAGTTTTCTGAATCTGTAAAATGGGAGTAATAATAAATTATTATGAACATTAAAAGAAATTACATATGTAAAAGCATAGCAGTCATTGGTAATAGCAAACACTCAAAATAATAGCTGTTATAATGACAATTACATAACTACATAACTATTTATCACTGATGGTTGTTATTTTTAAGTGTATTTTCCATTCTGTAACATCACCCTGATATGCCAGGGCTGAGTTGAGGAGGAATTCATCTTTTAAGCTTTTGTACCTCAAACTCATATATTAAAAAATTAATTTCCATCAGAAGTGCAAATCTTTTTCGATTTCCCTACTTTTCTATATATCCCTCTTTCTGAAGCACTGTGTTTTCTTACTTAGTTCTTTACTTGCCAGTGAGGAAGTTTGATATTAAACAGTCCTCCTCAATATGCTGATTCATTTATCACTAAATGTGCACAAAAAGGGGCCTGGCTGACGTCTTCCATGTAGTGATGAAAATGGGACCTCGGGCAAGTCTCTAGGTGCTTTAATCCTTCTAAAGAGCTTATCCATCTGTAACTTGTTCTGTGCTCTAGCCTCATGAGCTTTTTTCTGTTTTTCAGTGTTACTATGCCTCTCTATTTTAGATGATCTTTGCAGGCTTTTTCTCATTACACCAGACTTCTCCCTTCTCTTCTTTGTGTAGTCAACGCCCACTCATCCTTCCAATCTCATCAGAGGCTTTCCTTGTTCACCAACTGAATTGGCCCTCCTTCCCCTACCATCATATGCTGTCTTTTACATTCCCTTCATGGTGCTTTATCTTATAGATATGTAGTTGTACATTTGCATATGATTATGTGATTTTGAGTTATATGTGTTTGCCATACTATAAACTCCAGGAGCCAGCAGACATATTTATTTTGTTTAATCTTATGTTGTGTTCCTAAGATGGAATCTGGCACATAGTAGGCATTCAATAAAAATGTGTTGAGTTACTGTGCTTAATTAAACACACACACACACACACACACACACACACACACAAGCACACACACTCTACCCCAGGAAAATTGATGCTTTATCCGGTGCTTTCTTACCTGCTATTCTATAAGAAATTCTTCCTTCATTCTGCTATTCACCTACATTCTTTATATTTTTCTCCAGTCCAATAAATCATTGTATTTCTCTACATATCTGAGAGTCTCTAATATCAGTCTGTCCTTGAATCTTACAGTTCTATTTTAGGATCTTTTTTAAATTTTGTATATCTGCATTTAAGAATATCTCTGCCCATGTCATTTTGTCAAATCTGTTCATGTCATTTTGATATAATGCCTTTTTCTGTCTCTTTAGGATGTAATGACCATGAATGGGCTACTCTATGACATCACAGAAAAACAAGTGTATCACATTGGGAAGCAGGTCCTGTCGGCTTTGGTAAGCTGGGCCAAATGACAACAGACCTTAGGGATTTTCCTTGTTACTCTGGCATTTCATGTCATATTTATATTCCTAAATGGAGCATATATTTTTAAGGAAAATCAGATGAAAGTTAGAAAGCAGAAGCTCAAGCACTGAAAAATTATTTTCAGTTCTTTCTTTATGAAATGGTTTAGATAATATACTACAAGATTGGTAATTCTGGGTGGCAGGTAGTCAACTTAGGGTTTTTAGAAAGAACAGGAAGGGTTTTAAAAGGTTTCTCAGTCTTAAAGTTTGAAAACTGGGGCCCAGAGCTTCATACCCTTACTTCCCCATACATATTACTATTAATAGATATAAAAAGGGCAAATAGGGAAACAGGTTGGAGAAGATATGAGAAGATAAACTAAATGGGCAAAAGGCTACAGAACCAGAAGGAAGTACACCACTTTAGACCTGAAAAAACAAGAAATACTAGTTCAGAACACATTTGGTTGGAGACCTGCTTTGGTACTGAATGTGATAGGGGTCCATATACTTTAAAAAGAAGGAACAAATGGAAGAGCAGGAATAAGAAGGGGTAATAGTGAGATCATTCTATTTTTTAAATCAACTTAAATAAAGAGGTAAGAGAAAGAAGAACTCAGGGTTTAAGAGAAAAATCCCTGAAGAAATTTAGATGACTATGTCTATAAAATTATTTAGAGAATTGTCTTTAAAACAGTGTTTGTTATAGAAAATCAGGGCTCTGTGAAACTTCTGCTTTAAGTATTCTGCCATCTGGAGGTATGAAATACACTGGGGATCTAAATGGAATAAGGGGAAACTTAGAAAAAAAGAAGTGGTGAGATGAGAAGAGAGGAGTAGTTAGAATTGAAGTTCCTGTAGGGCAGGGGAGAGAGCACATCACGTTACTGAATATTACCTCTGGGGTGTGGAGGTCCCAGGTGATGTATCTCCTTGATAAAGTTAGGGTGTCAGCGTACCACCTTCCTTGTATTCTGAACCATAAATGCAGGGGTGTCCTGTTGGGATGCATTGATTCCATGGATGCTTTCATTGGGGCCCTAGGTTACCAGTTATAAGATAATATTATACTATTTTTTCTTACTTTCCCCAGCCCCAAAGTTACTACATTATTTAATTCTTCTCATCAGATTATAGTTTATTTGTTCTAAAACTGCACCAGAGAGAGAAAGTTCTTAATCACTGTTTCCTTCATTATCAATGATTGGAAATTACCATCTTAATCTTTTATTTTTTCATATCATGTTGTCTGGTCATCAGAGACCTCACTCTTTAGCTCTTTGGTCATGCGTAGCTTTCCAGTTTCTGCATCTGCTGTGAATGGCTTGGTGTTGGGGCAAATAATTCCAGCAACCCAGTGTCATCCAGGTGCAAAGGTTCTCAAATGCCTTGTTGATTGTGCTTAGTATCACTTAAATACTTATTAAAAATATAGGTACCAAGCCCCTTTGCCTAGATTTCATTTAAGTAAATGTGGAGTAAAAATCTTATATTTTAGGAAGCTCTCAGGCAGTTCTGAGTTCCAGCCTGGCTGAAACTGTGCGGCCTGTGGCCTTGTGTAATAATCATTTAGATTTATCTAAAAGATACTTCCTTAGCTCATCTCACCTCGTTATTTTAGGAACAAAAAGAAGTGAGATAAAACTTCATATGATGTATTATTATGACACTCTATTTCTCTATGTACACATTACCTCATTTTGGGGACTCCTGCTAGAAACCTGACACTCATTCCCTTTTCCAGTTGCTGGCTGGATCCTCTCTGAGAGAGAGATGAAGTCAGGCAGGGGTTAGGGCTGCACACACAGTGGGTGACTAGACATTCCAAGCCCAGTATTAATGTTACTTGGATTATTTGCTCAGTTTGGTAATCCTAAACAATTTTATAGCTAAAAAAACAAAAACAAAAACACCACACACACACAAGAAATACTGGTTCAGAACATGTTTGGTTGGAGAATTGCAAAATGTTTGGTTCACTATTCATTATTATGACTTGGATGTCATATATATATGTGTGTGTATATATATATATGCCAGTGTTACTGAGACTTGTTTGGAGTAGCACATGTTCTTGTCTTTTTGACGATTCTTAGCACTGCTTCTCCTTGTGTGAGATCCAAGCCGTGGCCTCAGACAGCTGGTCTATCTTTGATCTTACGTTGACAGGAATTTCTTCAGGATAAACATCTGTTCCATGGGGATGTGGCAGCCCGCAATATTCTGATCCAATGTGACCTTACTGCTAAGCTCTGTGGACTGGGCCTGGCTTATGAAGTCCACACCCAAGGGGCTATCTACTCTGCTCGCACCATACCTCTCAAGTGGCTTGCCCCAGAACGGCTACTGCTGAGGCCAGCTGGCATCCGAGGAGACATGTATGGCTTGTTCCTGCCTTTTGGATTTCTCACCTTCTTGACCTGTGTGCCCTCTGGTTCCTGCCCATGGCAGCATCCATTGACAATTATATCTACAAATGAAATCTCTACTTAGAAGTCAGACAGACTCTCAAGCAGAAATGTGTGTTATGTGACAGAGCTCATATCTGGCATCTGGCTGCAACCCTTTTTAGTGCCTTTGAAAAATTCCTTCCATATTAGATTAGCAGCCTTAATTAAGAAAGCAGAAAGAAAAATGAAAAGATTATTCACAGTGATATCTAGTAAAGTCCTTTATATTTGAAGGATGTATGTCCAATTAATCGAAAGCCTAGTTAAACCAGGAATATTAAAATAAAAAGAAATATACATGTCAAATAATTTAACTTAAAACATATAGGTGAATATTTATTTATTGATCTTTTGGAGGAGGGCCAAGGCCTTATTTTATGAGGATGGACCTGCAAAATGGTGTTATATATTGTTTCTTGAATGTATCCATAGTGAATTATTTTTACATTTCAGATTGGGATGATTCTGAGTGAGAAACCTGAAAACAGAAGTGAAGCAATTTGGCCACACATTTATTGTTATTTTTCCTAATTTTTTACAATGTGTCACCCACACAATTTGATACCATTTGCTTTTTAGCAGCTTATTTTTACAGAATATTTTCAAAGTATTTAACTTACTTTTCAGGGTGCTGATACGTTTTTGAATTTATATTGAATTAGCATGTATAATAAACATTTAATTGATTACATAATTCCATGTGTGATTAGTATAAACAGGACTGTAAAGAATCACAATTAACTTTTTTTTTAAAGATTTTATTTATTTATTTTTAGAGAGGAAAGGGAGAGAGAAAGGGAGAGAGAGAGAGAAACATCAATGTGCAGTTGCTGGGGGCCATGGCCTGCAACCTAGGCATGTGCCCTGATTGAGAATCGAACCTGCAATGCCTGGTTCGCAGCCCATGCTCAATCCACTGAACTACACCAGCCAGGGCCACAATTAACTTTTGATAACCATATAATTCAAGTGCTTGGGGCATGCATAGGTGTGACACAGACTTTACTAGCTGTGAATGTCATGAGTGGCAGAGAAATTTTAGAATGTCAGTTAATATGGTTAAGAGACTTCCACTGCTACCTCACTGATGCCTGCTCTTCAACTGAAATCTGGGAGTACTGAGCTTAACTGGGAAATAGTATTCATTTAATGATGATGTCACAGAGTAGTGAGATATAATTTGAGATATGTCTCTCAAATTATATTGCTTAGGGAAATATGTATTCTAAGTATGTGTAAAGCTTGTTCTATTAATATTGATTCTAGGTTTGGGCTATTAGATCTCCTGAGGGAATAGTAGGTAAGTTATAAGTCTCACTTGGCCTTGTGCTAAGAATAAAGTCTAGACTTTCAGCAGGAAGGAATAAAAAGGATGAAGGCTGTGCAGAGGGGAATTTATGTTTGGGGTGAATGTGTTTGTGTGTTTGCATAAATGCACACCCACAATTTAGTCATTAATAGTAAACACCTATTACTATGAAATACAGAAAAAGGAGACATAAATGCTGTCCTCAAAGAGACTGCACTCCAAGGGGGCTGAACAGAAATGCTTTCTAATGGCACTATTTTTTGGGTTATTTTATCTTACACCCTCTGTGCCCTTTCATTGTTTTCTTTTATAGCGCTCTTCCAAAGACCTCCATATTTAAGTGGGCTCTCTTTAGGGAAGGAAGAAATAGAAGTAAAGTAAATGACTTTGTTTCTTTTACAGATGGTCCTTTGGGATCCTGCTTTATGAAATGGTGACACTAGGTATGTACCTGTGTGCAATATGTTTGAGTGATGGATGACATGTTTATATGGAAGAGGTTTCAGTACAGTCTCTGAGGTTTGAACTGGGCTGACATGAAATCCTTCTCCTTTTAACTTTCTTTTGCTTGCTTTCTCTTTTCCTTCCCTCAATACTTTACCAATTCCAAGGATGTTTTAAAATACAAAACGTAATTCCAAGAGTGATCTTCAATAACATAAAAATGTTGTCTTCAGATTTATTAACCCATTTGATTGAGAAACTGTAGTACCTTCCCTCATTTGGGGAGTGGATGGCAGGTATTATTCTTTACTTTGCTTTATCTTGTTAACTTCCCTAAAGACTCAACATTCTCCTGAATTATCAGTTTTTTCCCTCAATCACCTTCCCCCCACCAAATTTCTCTAAGCTATCTCTATACTTGATCACTATGGAGCAACTATATTATATCTAGTATTTTTCTTATGGTTTATATTTACTTACCTTTTGCAGGGAATTGGCCCTGGTAGATGGAGAGTAGTGGTAGTTATAGCTCCTACTCTAGGGGACCTAAAGTTCTCTTGCTACTCCGATTCTTTCCATACCAACAGGGGCACCACCATATCCTGAAGTCCCTCCTGTCAGCATTCTACAGCATCTCCAAAGAGGGAAAGTCATGAAGAGACCCAGTAGTTGCTCACACACCATGTAAGTGGCTTTTAAGGTTTTCTCTGCTCATTCCAAATCTCTCTTGCTCCCTATCAATCATGCTCTTTTCAGGTATCATCTCTAGCTGTCTTTTCTGTGCTAATGTACACCCCTACACCAAACTTTTGTGGTAAAACACATCTGCTCATATGTCATATACCACATATACATATGTATAATGTATATGTGCATGTATATACTCACACACAATGTGCAACCACCGAGAACTATATTAGGAATCTGAATCTGATAAAGTTCAGTTCTTCTAGAAGTGTCTAAAACAGGTAAGAAGCAGACCAAATGCAGTGCATGTACCGTAGTCTTTTATTTGTCTAAATGTCCGTCTCAGTCAGAGACTGCCAGCCTCAGCTCAGATACAACTGTCATAAAATCCATTGCATTAGAGTTATTCATTGGCTCTTATTTAGTATTTAACTTTCAGAAATTATTGACTATCTGATTTTTCAGCTCTGAGCACATTAGAAGCCAACTGAAAGAAAGAGGTAAGAAGAAATTGTAAGGACAGAAGAAGTACAAAAGAGATGGTTACAGAACATAAGAAACTATTAAATTATTTATGAGAAGGCAGTAGAGACTATAATATATTATTATATATATCCATTGAAATTGTTGCTATTTTATAAATCTTTCAGCATTGAAAGGGTAAATTTCAAGGTGGGTTTCCATACAATAATCACTTACTATATCAACCAGATTACAAATGTTAGCTGTTGTAACTATAAATACACCTAGTGTAGTGATGCTGGCTAGGCATTCTAGAATCAAATTGCTGACAAGTATTTCTTGCAAGCTTTCTATGTATAAAAGGCTGTCCTTGATATTGGGGGAGACACTTAACTGATAAAGTAGCTAAACTTGAAAAACTAAACATTAGATGAGGAGATATCTGAAACAACATGAAAATAACCATAAAATGTCAGGCAATAAATGGAATGGTTAAAAGTTCAGATTCATCTCGGAGTTGAAAAGACATATGTTCAGTTCTAGTCCTGCTACTTTACTATATATTGTTTTCCTATTTTAAAATAAGTATAATGATAATCCTACCTCAAAATTATTGTGAAGCTGCAATGAAATAATTTGTGTTAAGTTCCACTTCCATGCCTTACACAATAAGTTTAAACATTAGCAGTACTATTCAAGCAGCATCCTTTACAGAGTCTCATCGCACAATGCTCGTGAGTGTGGGAAACACGGTGAGGGGCTGAGGTTTACAAGGGAAGGTTTCACAGAGGATTTGTGATTTAAAACCATCCTGCAGGACAGAGAGGACATTCAAGGAATTGGGCACAGCACAAGCAAAGACAGAATTGGGTGTCAATAACCACCTCCAGGGCACAGCAAGACTTGGACTTGGCTTTCAGCCAAGAGAAGGCTTCACTTAGGCAAGGCCTGTGTGGTAGAGGAGCTAGTGGGTAGGCTGTGGACCTCACAAGGTAGGTAGTGGGAACCTCTGTGGGCTCCTCAGCAAGGATGGGGTGTGATGAAAGTGAAAACAGCATTGCACAGGCTCTAAACTGGACAGCATTGCACAGGCTCTAAAAAGCTAGATTAAAGGTGGTAAATGCCTTTATTTAGATTACAGTGATTTCTGGGAGAAGGTCAATTACAAAGTGGGGTCGGGGGGAATGGCCTGGATCAATGGAAGGAAAACCTAATTACATTTTCCAAAATCAATATGAATAATCTCCTATAACTTCTTATATATTTTTAAATATTTTTTTATTTTTTCAATTATAGTTGACATGCAATATATTAGTTTCAGGGGGACAACATAGTTATCAGACATTTACATAACTTATGAAGTGCACACCTCAGTGAGTTTAGTACCCATCTCATAACCATACATAGTTATTACAGCATCATTGACTACTTCCCCTATGCTGTACTATAACTTCTTATTTTCCTGGCTGTCATATATCTTTTACTGGTAGATAAGTTCTAGCAACTGTCTGGAATGCTGCAAGTTAGCAACATCTAAAGATGACAGCACAACTTCTGAACGAGCTTTTCTCAATAGAATGGGGGAAAAACTGCTGCTATTCTGACTGTAGCCTGAGAAATCTTCAGCCATTCCTGTGATAAAAAGGGCTCTGTCGAGAAGATGATGTGAAGAGACTTAGTATTAAGGGGATGCGATGAATATTAGTCTCTGGGAAGAATACAGTAGTCAGGACAATGAGAAGTAGATTAAAGATCTGCAAGGTTTTTTTTTTTTTTAAGGTTTGTTAGATGAGGAGATGTGCTCTTCATACATTTGCCTTGTCCAGCAAGTCAGCTTTTCTGGTTTCCTTTTCAGGTATAGTCTTATGAAGTCCTGCTGGCGCTGGAAAGAGGACAGCCGCCCCTCACTTAAAGAGCTCTGCTTACGCCTAAACACTGCTGCTCGGACTGCCGATGACAAAGTTGTGTTGCAAGTACCAGAGCTGGTGGTTCCTGAACTGTATGCAAATGTGGCAGGCATCAGCGTGGAGAGCCTCTCCCACAGCTATAGCATCCATTGAAAATCCCGGGGCATGAACATATATGTGTGATCATATGCTCTAGGAACCAATTCCTCTGAGAACAGAGGATGTACTTTCTAGTGGGACATAAAGGGAGAAGTGTCACATGCAGCCTGGGTCTCCCCCTATACATTTCCCTAGATGGGTGAAATGATGCTGGGTGAGACGCTGCACACCTCTTACACTTAAAGTTGACAAAATATAGTTTCCTTTATGCTGTCCCAGTCCTAAAGACTCAGGGCAGAAATGGCGCACAGTGTCGCTACAAAGGAGGTTTTAGAAACCTGCCATTTTGGAGGGGCATGGCACAAATAAGCTGCTCCCTCCCACCACAACCTAGTTCCCTCTTGAAGTAAGTTTTTTTCTAGACCATTATAAGGTCCAGGGAAATTATAATCAAATGAGCAAATAGCCAAAAAAGGAGTTGATGAGAAAGAAAACAAAGGTTCTTTTTGCTCAGGGATATAGATGTGGACCAAGGTCATCCTTCAAAGACAAGTTGGAGGAAAGACGTGAAGTTCCACCTAATGGTTCCTTCATGCAGGGCTGGGGGAGAACCATGAGGGGAAATTTCTGAGTTTCCCCCGTGCATAGGTAAGAGAAAGATGGTCCCCTTTTACCTAATGCTGAGGCAGGTGAACCCTGTTGATACTATTTTTAACTAGGAGCTAGAGAGGTCATTGTATGATTAAGAACATTTCAACATGTATATTTTTTTATCAGACTAGCTTCCTGGTCTTTATAAGACTAGGGGGACTGAGCCACAGAGAGGCTGATGATTAATATACGATGTGTGTTTAATAAATGGGAAAGGCAGAAACCAAGCAAGAATGCTTAGTAGGCCAGAAGGTCGACAAGGCCTAGCAATGGATACCCTAGAAAGAAGGATGGCAGCTTCCTATTTTCAGTCACCCATCGATGCACTGTGAAACTTATTTCATTAAATTAATATTTATTGAGTGAAAGTGGGTTTTCAGGTCTACAGCTGCTAAAATCTCTACAGTAGGGAGGATAAAAGTAAATAAATGGAAGTTAATGTTGACAGAAAAATTCAAGAGATGATCTACATTGCTAGAAAAAGGATAAAATGGGTTTAATACTTACCTCACAGGGTTGTTGTGAGGACTGAATGAGAGTATTTGTATAGTATCCGGCACATAATATGTGCTTAATAAATGTTCATTTCTTTTCTTTCCTCCTTCCTATCCTAGAATCTTTTATGTCTTTTTCATTTAAAATCTAACCTGGCCAAGAAGAAAACCTTGGTCATCAGTCACATATGCCTAAAAGCAATGGTATGGTTCAAGTGCCACGTGACTAAAAGGTTGAAGTCATCATTTTTGTGTGACCTTCTGGATCATGATAGTAGTCTCCTACTATTGCAAAATACTGAAACTATGATGATGGCAATTCAGCTGAACATGTGATCTGTGATTTTAAAGACTACTCACTCGGGACACTCTAGGAAGGACATCTAAGCCTGCTGTAGAAAGGATGACTGGCAGCTGAATTATTTTATAGAAGTTAAGATCCTGATGGAGTCATGATGAGTCATTCAACTAAATAATGATCCTTACACCTGCTGGTATACCACAATGACTCATCAGAATTGAAATGGGTGGTAAGTGGCAGTAGAGCGAAGGGAGGTTGACTGGCTTGGCACAAAATGATAAAGCCTCAGGGAATCTCATCATTGCTTCTAGGCTGTTCATTTGAGTCAAATTTGCACAGAATTTATTTATTTATATATTTTAAAAAAACTGAGTGTCAAGGACAACACTGACAGAGGCAGTACTAGGCAGTATTGTACTAGGTGTTGAATAAAAGAAATCGCTTTTGACCACAGTCTACAAAGTAAGACATTATACACATATTTGTATGAATATTTGTAAATTACACATTGTAGTTAAGTGCTATGAAGAAAAGTGTAGGATAAGAGAAGGGAGTATAAAATAGAGGAGCTGCCTGAAGAGATGGCATTTAAACTGAGACCGTAGGGATGGGTGAGCAAGCCTGACAGGCTGAGGAGAGACTACCAGGACCACATGTGTGAGGATTCTGAGGCCAGAAACTGTGGAACTGACAAGAGGCAAGTGGGATGGGAACCTAGTGAGGCAAGAGGAAATTGGGACATAATGAAATTGTTCTTTCATACCATGTGTTAATATTTGCTTTTGGAAGAGGGAAAGAAGCAGATAATTGCTGTCATAAATTTTTACCCATAATTTTGTTTTTCTGGATTCAGGTCTGGAACACTGGATACACTAAATTATTTATTCTCAGAAAACTGGGTCTTGGACATGAACAGTAATGTGGAGATTGACTGTGGGAGTGAGGGGCAGGCTGGGTGAAGGGGTGTGAAGTTGGAAAATTGGGACAAAGGTAATGGCGTAAAAAATAATAAAATGTACACACACACACACACACACACACACACACTCTTATAACAAAAAAGGAAAATTAGGTCTTCTCTCTTGGCCAGGCTTTCTCCAAAAGGGATATTATGTGTCTGGCACCTTTGATTTATCAGCTATACTAGGTATTTCTGGGATTTGATCTTTTTATTAAGTGTCTAACCAGTTCTGGCACAGAGGAAGACCTGCTACAAAGCTCATTGTATAATGCTTTATAAATTTTAAATCATTTTACACCCATTATGTTATTTTATGTTCTCAACAATTCTATAAGCTTGGCAAAGCCGATTGTAATATATTCATTTGGTTGATGAACAAATAAGCTTAGAGACAGTGACTTAATGGAGGTTAGGCAGAGGCAAGTGTTGGGAATGAAACCCAGGTCTTCCGACTGCCGCTCTTTTTACTGAATCCCACTGAAGGCTAAAGGTCATTGACAGACAGGTTTACTCTCTATGTTGGTAAAAGGAGGATGATCAATAGTAGATGAAACATAGACTTCCTGTAAAAGCTCACTTTATTCTTCACCATCCTTCAAAACCCATCCCACAGGGGAGCATCCCTTACTTCCCCAATTGAATTCTGTCTGGTAAGAAGCATGAGCTAAACCATTTGATCTTTTCTTTTGATATTCAAAATATCAATTTATATTTGTTAAAAAATTTTATTGTATATTTCCCATTGCCATTTAAGCCCCGTATACCCCACCTTCCCACTTTAATCACCACACTGTTGTCCATGGCCATGAGCCCTTTTTCCTTTTTGCTCAGTCCCTCCACCACCTAACCTTGCCCCCTCTACCTGTCATCATGCTTTCTATCTAAGAGTGTCTCTATTTTGCTTGTTAGTTGAGTTTGTTCATTAAATTCCACATATAAGTGGAATCATATGGTATTTGTCTATCTCTGACAGACTTATTTCACTTAGCATAATGTTCTCCAGGTCCATTCATGTTGTCGCAAAGGGTAAAATTTTCTTCTATTTTACTGCCAAGTAGTATTCCATTGTGTAAATGTCCCACAGTTGTTTTATCCACTCATCTTACTAATGGACACTTGGGCTACTTCCATATCTTGGCAATTGTAAATTATGCTGCAGTGAACTCAGGGGTGCTTATGTTCTTTTGAATTAGTGTTTTGGGTTTCTTTGTATATATTCCCAGAAGTGGGATAGCTGGGTCAAAAGGCAGATCCATTTTTCATTTTTTGAGGTATTACATATTGCTTTCCAAAGTGATTGCACCAGTCTGCATTCCCACCAATAGCACAAAAGGGTTCCCCTTTCTCCACATCCTCTCCAGCATTTGTTATTTGTTGATTTATTGATGATGGCCATTCTGAAAAGTGTGAGGTGGTATCTCATTGTGGTTTTAATTTTCATCTCTCTGATGATTAGTGACATTGAGCATCTTTTCATATGTCTATTGGCCATCTGTATAACCTCTTTGGAGAAGTGTCTATTCAGGTCTTTTGACCATTTTTAAATTGGATTTATTACTTTTTTTGTGGGGGGTGTTGAGTTTTGTAAGTTCTTTATAAATTTTGGATATCAATCCCTGATCAGATGTATTGGTGAATTTGTTCTCCCATTCCTGGGTTGTCTTTTTATTTTGTTGATGTTTTCTTTTGCTGTCCCAAACTTTTTAATGTAGTCCTATTTGTTTATTTTTTATTTCCCTTCTCTGGGGAGATACATAGGATAAAATATTGCTATGAGCAATGTCTGAGATTTTACTGCCTATATATTCTTCTAAGATTTTTATGGTTTTGGGTCCAACATTCAAGTCTTTAATCCATTTTGAATTTATTCTTGTGTGTGGTGTAAGAGGGCAGTGTAGTTTCATTTTGCTGCATGTACCTGTCCAATTTTCCCAACTTCACTTATTGAATAAACTTTCTTTAGCCCATTGTGTGTCTTGCTTTCTCTGTCAAATGTTGGCTATAAAGGTGAGGGTTTATTTCTGGGCTATTCTATTCCTTTGATCTGTATGTCTGTTTACATGCCAGTGCATGCTGTTTTGAATAGGCCTTATTATATAGTTTGCTATTAGGCAGAGTGATTCCTCCAATTTTGTTTTTCTTCCTCAGGATGACTGTTGGGAATGTGGGGTCTTCTGTGGTTCCACATAAATTTTTGAAATATTTGTTCGGGTTCTGTGAAATATGACACTGGACTCATTTGATCTTGTTACTGCCACAGCTCCACAGGGCACTAAAGCTTAACCCTTACGGATCAAAAGAAGTTTTATTATTAAAAAACTAAAACAAAAACAAAATCCTGTTTATATACTACGACTGTCGGGATTTTCACTTTCAATGTGTTCAAAATTTCAGCCCTCTTGTTTGATGGATTCTTTCTACTTTGTCTCTGTTGCTTAAAGGTTTCAAGGTGACAATTAACTAGGGTGGCCCAAAGAAGAAAGCCCTGTGCTAGGAACCTAGGAGGAGGAATAGTAGTATTCAGGTCTAACATTCCCACTCCGGGTTTTAGCTTTACTCATCCTATCAGTTAGAGGGGAGTAACGCCGCACCCAACTCTCAAAACGCCGCAAGAATGAGACCCGAAAAGGAAAAGCGACTTGCAAACCTTATTTCTCACCCTATAAGAAACGTTATCCTACTTTCATGCTTCTGTGCTTTGCTAACATAATATAATTTACTTAATTTTGAAAATAACAAGGTTCTATACTCAGCAACGTGAAGTTCAAATAACTGCAGCAGATTCCCCCGTGCTTTCAGGACTGAAAAACCCAGCCTCCTTCCCCGCTTTCCTCCGGGCCCAAGGGAGGCAGGAGAGGCGTGCCCGCGGTGACGCAATCACCCTAGGCCACTGACGTCACTGCCAGGCGCCGGTTAGCACGTTGGCCGAGCCTTCGGCGGGCTTTCGGCGGAGAAAAATGGCTTTGGCCAGCGATTTCTATTTGCGCTACTATGTGGGGCACAAGGGCAAGTTTGGACACGAGTTTCTGGAGTTCGAGTTCCGGCCGGACGGTGAGCGGAGGAGGCGGGGTGGGGCGAGCGGCCCCTGTGGGCGTGCGAGTGTTCGTCGGGGGCTGCGGCCACTGCTTCTGGCCGCGTAAATAGGAGCTTGAGAATACTAGGGGCATGGACTGGTTTTGTGAATAAAAGGAAATCAATCGGTGTAAATTAATTTAGAAAAGCTAATCCTGGCAGATAGTAAAGGTGAGTCCATAGCAATTAGCATCCCAGGATCAGGTCACTGGGAGGCCCTTAAAGGACTAGTTTATCGACCTAATACTAGAACATTTTAAAGACTATCCCCAACATGTAGAAGTCTTCCGGTGGCCAGCAATCTTCGGACTACCCATTCACCCATTATTCATTCAGACGCTGTATGTAAGGCAGCGTAAACGAATAAGACCCGCCCTGAAGGGGGGAGCCCAATATGTAGAAAAATGAGTGTAAGTATCTGTTTTGGATGCTGGAATACAGTTCGTTTTAGTATGCATTAAGAATACAAAAGAGGGATGCGGTTAGTTCTGCATGAAGGAGTGGGGAAAGCTTCCTAGAGAAGGTAGGCGACAGTTGAAATGACTCTTGAAATAGGTATTTTCTTAGCTGGGGAGCAGACGTTTCTTTTTTGAATGTATTTTATGTGTTGCGCAACATTTGAATACAAAAAGCGAGGTTACAGTAATGAATGAGACTCTTTAATTTCCCACAATGAATTATGTCATGGTGGGTCACACAGTCATGAAACTAACCGTAAATCATTATGGATATTATGTATTAAGTGTTATGTCCATGTTTTGGACAAAGTTCTGTGAGAGCATGAAGGAAAAATTAGGGGAGGATCACATGTTAGGAAAGGGGAAGAGGATCATACATTTCAGGCAGAACTCAAGGTAAGGACAGCCGTGCAGTTATTCAGAAACTGTAATCGCTTTTTTTTTTTCTCCCTATGTTTCATCTAAACTAGTTAAGGAACCAATTTATATGAATTCTCCAACTGTTTTTTATGTGATACTGTTTTGAGTGCCTTTGCCTGTGAATAGTTTCAGCTTTTAGCCATTAACATCAATTAGGTAGTCTAATATTATCAGGGAACTTTCATGCCAGAACAGTGGTTCTCATCCGTGTATCTGCCACCACCCCATCCACACACTTGAATCAGTGAGTGAGTCACAAAGGCAGTGATTCCTTGGGGGCTCACTTCATTAGGTTTACTTGTCATTTTAGAGCATCAGCACCACCTTACTTGTGCTCCTGGCTGACTGACTGGAAGAGAAGCATCCATCAAGGAGCACAAAGTCATGATGGATTAAAATTAAATATAAACAAACTGGCCAGCTTTTATCTAGAAGCAGCACATAGTTCGTATGCTTCCTAATCACAATTCTAATATATTAGCATTGCCATAGTATTATACATACATTAATTTGAAGAAAAATAATTAAAAGAGAACATTTTGGAGTAATGGGGACAGCATGAGTGTTGAAAGAAGGTAGATCTAGATCTGAATCTTGTGTGACCCTGGGCAAGTTACTTAACTCTGTTTTCTCAACTATGAGTAAGTGGGAGAATAAAACCCTCCTCTTAAATTCGAGTAAGTGATTAGATTAAATGCCCTGGGCTAATCAGTTCTCACCAATGCAGACATACAACATAAACCTTAAAAGAAATGTTTGCTCCTTTTTCAGATCCCCTGTTCAGTTCAGGACATAGTTTAAGAAAATGAGCCTTAAAAATGGCCTTCCCATTATATTGAAGGCATGGAACATTTAAAAATTATATTAAATGTTTAAAAATTATATCAGATGCATGGAGTATTTTAAAAATTGCCTAACTTCAACTGCAGCCGACTTACCAGCAAATTTTTGAGTGTCCACATTCTAGGATTGGTCTTATGCTAGCTAGGGGGGAAGAAATATTAAAAGTAGTAATATAAAATGGACTTTATCTTCAAAAATGCTTACAATGTCATTTCTTTATTTTTTTTTAGCAGTTTTTGCTGTTATAGATTGAATTTTTTTCCACTCCCCACAGGAAAGCTTAGATATGCCAACAACAGCAACTATAAAAATGATGTCATGATCAGAAAAGAGGTAAGTTCTTTTGGAATGTCTCATTTTTTACAGTGACCCACTTTTCTCCTGTCTGTATTAAATTCACAGAAGTACATATAAGGCTGTATTATAAAGAGGAAGCTGATTTATAGATTGAAAAGGGGTTCTACTTAAATTAGATATAACTGTAGTATCAATAACAACAGAAGAAATAATCTGAATATAAGCTGTAGTCCCACATTTGACAATATCACTTAATTCATTTTATAATTAATTTGTCTTTTTATTCTGTTGAATGTTTAAAATGGTAGTCATGATTTAAGAATGGTATAAATTTTAAATCAAAGGCTTAAAAGTTAGGAATAAGGGAAAGTTCGGATCACTATAGTGTGTCCTTGGATTTGTCTCTGTTCACTTCATAGATGTTTTGGTCGTCACTGTTAACCACTCGGAGAGATTTGAATCCCATGTTACCGAGGCAGGGTTTCACTAGGGGGCTAAGTGATGTGAAGAGGGAGAAATATATATTAAAGGGAAGGACAGGAGAGTGAAGAAAAGTCATAAGGTGGATGAGTGATTCTCTCCCATCTTTTACTTTGGCATCAGAATGAAATTTTTCTGTGATACTCTCATTGAATGTTTGGAGTTTGTAACTCTGTTTAATCATTTTATTCTGAGGTATGAGAAGGAATAGAGAGGCATTTTAAAATTTTTATTGTAACTTATTTTCAGGCGTACGTACACAAGAGTGTGATGGAAGAACTGAAGAGGATTATTGATGACAGCGAAATTACGAAAGAAGATGATGCTTTGTGGCCCCCCCCTGACAGGGTTGGCCGGCAGGTTTGTAATTAGTGGTTCCTTAAATGCATACATATTAAAATTGTTAATATCATTGTTATGTTTTTCTTATTTATTTATAATGGGTACTCATTGAATCTTTAGTTTTCTATTAGTAGGTATCTGGTAAATACTTTTTTTTCCTGATCCTTATGCTATCTCCTAGCAGTAAAGGAGTCGATGCATAGCTCTAAATTTAGCTATCTTTCCAAACAATCTGTTGTAGCCACCCAGCCAAGGTTAGGATGTTTTCACACTGTTGTAGTTTCTATTACATGTTAATTAATTTTATTAGGAATAAATGTAGATATCTGTTAAATCTGAGACTTAAGATTCTCATTGACTATGTACAATTTACTTTCTCCAAATTTATAACTTTGAAAACTCTTATTTGCATCTCTTGCTCCAGAGAAACATTTGATTGGTTTCTTTGTTCAAACCGACCCCTGTCTTTGCCTCTCATATTCCCCTCAGAGTAACTGATATGTCTTAGAGGGCTTCTGAGAGCTCTGAAGGCTGATTCCCTCAACAGAAAGACAGTGTGATTTCTGAATTGGGCCTTTTGAACTCTGGGAGAAAAGAGATATGACCCTTTGAGAAAGAAACATTTAATTTCATGTTTGTTTGCTCTGAGGATTATACTTTGTAACACCTTCTTTGACTAGCAGAAAATAGGGAGAAAACAGATGTTGACCTTCTGTAGCAGTAACTTAACTCTTCTATTTAAAGGAACATTATTTGTGACATCAAAGGTAATAGGTAACATTACTTATGCCTTGAAAACGCTTTTAAAAGTAAGTTTTGATCTGTTCAATTTTGTGTACATGAACATATGTACTGAAAAAACTCTGGGAGAATCCAGTATTTTCATCTACCCACTTGATGATGTGGTTGTGTATTTTGCTTATTAGGGAGGATTAGGCATGCTTCAGAAATTGTTTGTTGGTCTTTAAGATTTTACAAATGTTTAAGAACTCTAGTTAACTATGAATTTTGTGTGTGCTATAAACTGTGTATAATTAGGTCTTCTGATCAGTTGTATATATAAGACTATCTTGAATAGCATCTTTATTTAACCTGAAAAATTACTGCAGATATAGCCTCTTAATTATTGTTTTTACATTTGCAGGTAAATATAGAGAAAAATTAACACAATAAGTATGGCACACTGAGAACATTTACATTATGTTATGTGTATTTTAATAGTTCTCAATTTTTAATGTCTTAGGAAGTCAAAGTCTTTCAGTCTTACAGTCCAGGATTCAAATATCAACACCATCCCTTACTGGTGGTTGTAACCATAAACAAGTTCCATCCTGTGCTGTTTGAGTCTTGGGTTTCACAGTTGTCAAAGTAGGCTAATGAAGTCTGTTTGACAAGTGTATTTTAGGGAATTACAGATAATATTTGTAAATTCCCTAGCAGCAGGGCTTGACACATAGTAGGTATAAAAGTGGTACTATTAATGTTACACATTTTATTTTTGGAGCCTGGTAAAAAGGATAGTGTGTTTTATTTTATTAAAAGTGGCTTGTACACATATTATTTTTACAACATTGTGCCTTAGAGTGATGCCTTTAGTTTTTACTGATGTTATAAGAAACATTTGTGTGTCACTCTTAAGTATGTGATTCATTTTATGGAATCTTTATGAGATCTCTGGGGAATAACTTTGGTTAGCCTTGATATTGGGGACTCCTGTGCAGGCGATGGCATTTTAATTTTTTTATTTTATAGACACAGTTTATGTCTAACAGATTAAGGTCACCTCCCCCCCACCCCCCATTACTGTTAGAAAACCTGCAGCTAAAATTGGGACCCCCTGGTAGCAAGGATAGAGATATCTCTGGGGTGGATTTTTATATTAACTACATTTCTCTGTTTTGTTTTCTTTAGGAGCTTGAAATTGTAATTGGAGATGAACACATTTCTTTTACTACATCAAAAATAGGTTCTCTTATTGATGTAAATCAGTCCAAGTGAGTATGGTAAAGCATTTTTATTAAGTTGATCAAATTTATTAGAGAAGTTCATTTTAGAACTCTAGACAGTTTGCTAAGCCTATTTCATTGGCACCCTGTTAGTTTATTATGCAGACGTAGTTCTGATTTTTGTGTCATTAAAGACTTGCTACCAAAAAAGGTAGCAGTTTATTTATTGATTCCCAAAAGAAAAAAAAATCTGACAACTATGAATAATAATGCCCAAATTTTATTAGCTACTTTTTATAAAAATCTGGGCACTGTCACAAAATTTAAAAGTAATCCATGCTGGATACCAGCCTCATTAGCCCCACATTATCATTCTCCTGTTTGGGTTTATCTTCAATTAAGGGAAAAATCCAGCAGAGCTTTAGCTGCGTGGGTCCTCTCAAGTTGAGTCCCTGTGGCGCATACCTTTGTCTTTTCCACAAAACCTCTCCTCCTCCAGTTATTTCTTTTCACTATTTCCCTTCAAAATATCCCCATGGTGTTCTTTTACTGTCACTAAGTTTTAATAACTCATTCGCTTTACCGGTTTGAATGTAAACTCCATGAGAACCTTGTGTATCTCCAAAATTAGCAGTGTGCTGGCACACAGCAGGTGCTTTTTGGGTATTTATTAGAGGAAAGGAGAGAGGAGCGAATGTCTAATAACTATTGGATCTAAAAGGCTGTGTTCATAAAGACCAGATACTTCTAAATTATCAAATTTATTTTCCCACAATTGGTGAGGACATGGTATTCATGGCCTACTGGGATTATAAATTGGCACAATATTTTTTCTTATTTTTTAAAAAGACTTTATTTATTTATTTTTAGAGAGAGGGGAAGGGAAGGAGAAAGAGAGGGAGAGAAACATCCATGTGTGGTTGCCTCTGGCGCCTCCCCTACTGGGGCCTGGCCCACAACCCCGGCATGTGCCCTGATTGGGAATCAAACCCGCGACCCTTTGGTTCGCTGGCTGGCTCTCAGTCTACTGAGCTCACCAGTGAGGGCCAGGTACAATGTGTTTTTGAATGCAATTTGATAATTTACCTCAAAAGCTATTAATATTTCATTAATCTTCGCACTTATTTTCACCATGGTAATTTTTTTTCTGAGTATCTGTGGAAATAGTCTCAAATAATGAAAAAGTTTTATTATTTAAAAAAGATAGTCATTAAAACCTTATAATTGGAAAAATATCCAAATGTCTAACAAGGAGAGAATTATTAAATTAACTAAGAATTACTTGTGGATTTTTTTCTTAATATAATAGAAAAACTAATGTTATAAAGGGCCCACGGAATAATTTTAATTATTAAAGAAAAAATAGAGAAACACCAAAATGTTTATAGTTATTCTGTGAAAAGTGACATTATATAGTATTATGAATATATTTTTTTCTTTCTATCTTTACAATTTTATCTACTTTATACATTTTTGTGATGCATAGCTACTTATAAGGAACTAAACACTTTATATATGAGATGAATACTGGTAAAGAAATTTTGTAAATTTTTTTTTTACAGAGAAGATAGAGATGGTAGTCATGGACTCCTATTACTTAATTGTTTTAGATTTTTGTTTTGTTTTAGGAATTAATTTATAGAATTATATTATTGCAAAAAAAGTAACTTTTACCTTTTTAAATTTCAGGGATCCCGAAGGCCTTCGAGTATTTTACTACCTGGTACAAGACCTGAAATGTTTGGTTTTCAGTCTTATTGGATTACATTTCAAGATTAAACCAATTTAAATTATATGTTTTTTGAAGCTGTTTTTATATTTAACTAAGGGATTGGTAAAGGGGGGTTATTTGTCATTTACATTATCAGGATTTTTATGTATGTGAAGCAAACTCATTTTTTTGTATGCAAATTGAAAATAAGAAAATATATAAACAGGCTTAATGGTTATCTTCACTTTTGTCTACGTGGGTTGGACAGTGCCCCCATGTGTTAGATTCTGTACATAAAAGACACCTGTTGAAATTTTGCTCCAATAAAACTTACCAAAGCCTGGGTGGAGAGTGCTTTTTTCAGGAGGCTATGTCTCTCATCACTTTAAAGATTATAAAAAATTGTTGTAGGAGGTACATGCTATGGCAGAAATTCTTTCAGGTAGAAATATGTAGCTGGAATAAAGGCAATTATTCTTTCATATCTGATGGGATTTAGGTTTTTGGTGATTATGGAGGTTGTTTTCAGAAGGTTCTGGATTTTTTACATTTATCACAAATTCCTCTGGGATTATTTACATTGAAATGTTTTTGGTATAAACAGTGATTTCCTGAAGGATGACAAGTAAAGTCAGTACCCCAAGTTAGGCACACTTTTTATTAAGCCTTTATTCCTTATTCCACAAGTACATATTTTGTGTATCTTTTGGAACTAAGCGAGCTCTCAGCTTAAAATTACCTAAAATTTAGATTTAAGTTTGTGTGTATCTGTTTATATTTGAACCCCTACTGAGCACAGGTCCCACTCATTTCTCAGTTCCCTTCAACTCTTAATAGACTTGACCTTATTTTTCCTGTTACTCTTCAACCTCAACCCCACTCTTGAAACATGTGCAGTCCTGGTGGTATAATCTACTTGCGCCAGGGACCCGTCAGGTGTGACTTTAGGGTGGAAGGATTAGCCTCTGCACTCTTGACTCCTGAGCAGCTGGACGAGAGCAACTGTGAGCAGTAAACTTTGAGATTATGGAATGTCCTGTCTGCAGTTCAACAGGGCGGCCACTAGCTACTACATGTGGCTGCTGAGTACTTCAGATTTATCTACTGTAACTGAGTTGAATAGTCCTATTTAATTAGAAAACATTTTTTTCCAATATCATATTGTAAAAAATTTCAAACAATTGTAAAATGAACATCCATATGCCAATCTAGATTCTATAATTGACTTTTTTTTTTACTGTAATAAGTCTTAAATCATATCCTGTTGATTTTTCATTTAAGGGTAGAATAACTAGTATAATTGGTGCCAATAGACCACTTTTTTTTCGTAATATTTAATTTTGATTTAATTTAGGTAGTCACGTGGCTTGTGGCTACCTTTTGGACAGTGTAGCTCCAGCGCATGGCTTGGTAGCCTGTTTGCCATGGAGCGTTGTCTGGTCCTTGACATTGTGTGGAAATGCGTTGCCATCCTCACAGATTCCATGGAAAGTCACCTGGTCTTCACTGTGCAAGACTACACTGTCATCACCTTCAGGTCCCTTACTGAAAACAAACATTTCTGTTCAAGTTGTGGACCTTGGTGGATGTGCCATATAAAAATCATAATTTTCTTGCACTTAGATATTAGGAAAAGGAGAAACAGTCACCCTTGGTACTCCTTGTAGGCCCACAATTTTTAGTTGCTCCTCAAGACAACCTTTAGTCTGTGGCTCCTGTTGAATAAGATGATCCACTCAAGACAGCATAGTTGGAGAGAAATAATTCTCAGATTAAAAGAATCGTTAAGATACTAACTCTTTGTCCCCATTTGTAACTTCCCTGTAGTGCTGATTTGCTTATGCTTCATCCCCACTGCCTATCAAGTTCTTATATTCAAACAAGTTGCGTTATTAGGATAAATGTTTTATATTGTCTCTGATTTTATATGCCTTGTTTGAGCAGGCTCTTGATTGTAAGCTGCTGGTAGACAATAACCATTAAAAATTAAATTTTGTGCAGCACTAGTTTTATGAGAATTTTTTTTTAAGATTTTTATTTCTAGACGAGAAGGGAGGGAGTGCTGCGCGTGGGTCACCGGCCAGCAGTGACCACGGAATGCTGTGGATGGCTCGACGAAAAACACGCGAGAAAAAACACACATGCACAGAGACAGACTAGTTTCTGTGGGGAAGTAGGGATGAAATGGCCACCCCCCCTAGTGGGGAGCGTGCTGATTTACCCTCCATACCTGCTTTTATTGGGCTCACTTTGCATAATAATTCAGGTAAAGTACAGTACTCATTAGGGGGAAGTAAGGAACCATAGAAAACAAAGAACTCTGCTGGTCTATTGAGTTGGGGGTCAAAGAGCTGTAAGACTGAGGAACAAACTAACTTCCTCCTAAGACCCTTCTCATTCAACTGAGAGCATTCTAAACAAAGAAGGTTTCACAGTAATTTACATGTTCTTTCTTAGGCCTGATCACCCCGGGAATCCGCACTTCTCAGTACCGAGCTGCACCACCCTGTCATTGTTTCAGGCTTAGGTGGAGCAAGGGAACTAAGGCAACTGGGAGACAAGGAGGTTTTTTCCCAGACGCTGAGAACTCAGGCTATGTCAAAGCCGAGGAGCAAGGGTCCATCACCCCCTTTTGCTGCAGCCCCCCAAGTCCTTCTTTTGGGGGGCCTCCCAAAGTGATCGTGCCTGTCTTAGGTCATTCCCCCGTGGGGAATCTTACCCGTCTTTGGCTAACCGACCAAGCTTTTTGGGGTTCAGTCATGAATAAAGCAGCAGAAGCAGCATTCCTGCCAGGAAGATAAGCTTTTGTCTCCTTGCTGGCTTACGGTTCCAAGGGCGTTCCCTTAGCCTTAGCCTAGGTGGGGGTTTCAGCTTCTGATACCAGTCAGGGCGGTTCCCAACAAGGGAGAAAGGGAGAGAAACATCAATGTGTGGTTGCCTGTCTTGTGACCCCTACTGGAGACCTGGCCAGCAACCCAGACATGTGCCTTGGCTGGGAATCGAACCAACGACCCCTTGGTTCATAGGTTGGCACTCAATCCACTGAGCCACACCAGCCAGGGCCATGAAAATTGATTTTTATAGCACTCAGGTCAGTGGATATATGTACCTGCCCCCATGTCCCATAATAAAGAGACCACTTGCAATAAACAAACATCTGTTCCAAATGTTAGTTCAGGACCCCATCCCTCTTGCCCTTTCATGGGATAGAGTGTCACTACTCAGCACTAGCACAATTCTTTTCCATGTCATAGGTTCTTTGTAAAAGTTTATTCAACCGGTTGTCTTGTAGTTACTGCCTTCAGATTTGTCTTGTAACTTAGTCTGAGATGTAATACTCATTTCTGTTGCTATGGAAACCTTTCAAGTATCAAGAATTTTGTATACATGCCTACTCATACTGCAAGTTGTATATTTGCCCACATTGGCTACGGCTGTGTCATGAGTGTGGCTTAGTGGTGGTCCTGATTGCTCACGTATAGTCTGAGTAGAACATTTCAACCTTGATCAACCTGAAAACAGGAGTTGTGCTGTAAGTTCAACTGCTGATCCAAGTTCAACTGAAGTTGTTTGAAGACTTAGAGAAGCTTCAGGTTCACAGCAAAATGGAGAGATGTACCACAATTTACAAAATTGAGAATGATGCAGAGCATCTTTTGTGGGGAGCTGGTGGATGCTGGTGGCATCCTTCAGCGTAGGACAGGAAGAACAGCATGATGCTGTGAAATGATAACAACTGGGGTTCGAAGCTGTGGGCAGAAGAAATGAAGGTGTGACTGTAAGTGATGCACTAAGCTTCTAGCTAACAATATTGTCAGGAAAGGATGTGTAAGATGTGTGGTTTCCCAAATGAAAAAAAGCTTTGCAGCACAGCAGCCATTAAGTAAATAAGTGAATGCTTTATGTATATTTTTTATGCTTGTATAAGTGTGTTTTGCACAAAAGTGAATTTGGAAGACACAGTATAAGAACATTTAAAATATTCTTTAAAATTTATCATCTTTCTGTTTTATTGACAGTGGTTGTGATGGAGTTTGATGATTCCAATTTTGTGCATTTAATCAAAGGCCATGCTAGGAGTTTCAGTCTTATCTAAAATGACTACTGTCCTTTCTTTTTAAAAATTTTTTATTGTTCAAGTACAGTTGTCTACCTTTCCCCCCACCCCAGCCATCCCTCCCTCCCTCCCCTGATTCCACGTGTCCTTGGTTTTGTCCATGTGGCCTTCATAGTTTTTCCTTAAAACCCTTTACCATTTTCCTCCTATTATCCCCTCCCACCTCCTCTCTGGTAACTGTCAGTTTGTTCTTAATTTCAATCTCTCTGGTTATATTTTGCTTGCTTGTTTGTTTTGTTGACTAGATTCCACTTAAAGGTGAAATCATACAGTATGCACTGTTGGTGGGATTGCAGACTGGTGCAGCCACTGTGGAAAACTGTGTAATTTCCTCAGAAAACTAAAAATGGAACTGCCTTTGGACCCAGCAATTCCCCTGCTAGGATTATATCCTAAGAACCCAGATACACCAATCCAAAAGAACCTAAGCACCCCAATGTTCATAGCAGCACAATTTACAATAGGCAAGTGCTGGAAACAGCCTAAGTGCCCTCAGTAAATGAATGGATCAAAAAACTATGGTACATTTACATAATGGAATACTACATAGCAGAAAGAAAGAAGGAGCTCCTACCCTTTGAGACAGCATGGATGGAACTGGAGAGCATTATGCTAAATGAAATAAGCCAGGTGGTAAAAGACAAATACAATATATGAAGTTACTACTATTCTGATGCTGGTTGTCTTCTCATCTAGGAAGAAATCTACTTTTTCTAGAAATTATAGTTTAGGAAAACAAACAAACCAAAAATTGGAGCAGCTACACAACTTGGCTTGGAGCAGCTACACAACTTGGCTTTTTAGTCATTAATCTCATTCTGCCTCACTCTAAAACTACAAAGTATCTAGATTTGGTGATCAGTCTCTCTTCACTGAACCGCCTTGTTAATCAAGTGCATGTGTAGGCGTCGTATCTCCTCCATGTGTGGCACTGACGACAATGAACAAGATGACGTGGTGCTCACCCCGTGAGTTCGTACACAGGAGACAGTCAACTGTGTACCTGTAAAAAGTGTTCCTCACCTGTGTGGCCTCCATCATGAGAGCCACCGACCTCTTCAGCTTTAAGGATATAAATTAGAAGAAAGGCTCAACATCACCAATATCTCCAAGGGTAGTAAGAGGTAAATAACCAGATCTCAGGTCACAGTACGTTTTTCTGAGTAGTAAGCAGTATGCTGCTATATGTTTCCCAGCTCCTAAAATATATGAATTGTATTAATGTAATAATTGCCCACCCCCCATCCTCAACTTCCCCAAAACTCTCTTTCAAATGCCTACACTCCAAACCTGACAGGATAGAGAACCTAACTCAGTGTCAAGATTTCTGGATTGTAGTACTGCCTTGGGAGAGAAAGAAAAAAGAAAAAGAGCATTTGCTTATTTCAAGGTCTGAGAAATCCTATGTGAAATGCTAATCTCATTAAATTCTTCCAAGTCTAGGGAGTACTACTCTTATTGAACACATGAGAAAACTGAGGCTTGGAGATTTGGAGTGACCTGTTGAAATTTTTGTGGCTAGGCAGGATTTGAATCTTGGACTTCCCATAGTCATATTTCACACTTAATGAGAGCCTACTGTGTATTTGCCAGGTCTGCTTACACTCTCCACGTGATCCATGGCAGTTAATTCCTACTGCATCCTTGGGAGGCAAATATCGCTGCTTTACTGCGGTGAATCTGAGGGTGTAGAGAAGTGAGTGACTTGCCTCAAGTTACACATGGAAACTGGGGCTCTCACTTCAAGCCAGAACTTTCTGGTTCCAGAATTCATGCTTTGGACAAAAGGTTTATTGAAAATCCAGGCCCTTTTAAATTCATATTCTGTGCTCTATGCAGTCAGTCAGGCCTGATGATAAACAGGGGTCAAGAACTAGCAATAACACAGGGGTGTCAAACTCATTTTCACTGGGGTCCACATCAGCCTTGAGGTTGCCTTCAAAGGACAGAATGTAATTTTAGGACTGTATAAATGTTAACTACTCCTTAACAGTTAAGTGAGAGCTCAGCGCTGCTGCCGGGTGTGCTGAGCCAGATAAAACAAGGTGGAGGGCCGGATTCAGCCCTCAGGCCTTGTGTTTGCCACCTGTGCAATAACGTGTCCTTTGGCAAATCAGTAACCTCTCATGATTGATTTCTTCATTTGTAAAATGGGCGCAGTAAGAAATAGCTGTGGGTCAGCTTTGGGAGGTTTCAGTATGCTTATACACACAGTAGGTCCTCCAACAAATGAGTGTCTGTCTCTGCTACCTTTCCCCAATCATTAGTACTTCTCCCTCCTTAACTCCCTGTCTTCAGTCAGCAGAATTATGTGTTTGTTTGGTTGTTTGTTTACCTATTTATGGCATAGAAGGCTGTGGACCTTCTTTCTCTGTCTTGAGATTGATGAAGCCAACCCAGGGTTAGAGAGAGAAGAAAATGCCCAGCAGTGAGTATTCCTGAAGTGCCCAGGCTCTACCCAAAAAACTTAATTTCCACTATTGAGTGCAATTAGCCCCTGGGAGGTACTGCAGCTGCCTGCTGCACGTGATGACATGTGGACGACTGCAATGATGATCCAGAGATTGAGGACTGCACCAGAGGACAGAAGTAGACCCACTGTGGGCCCCACCACAGGCAGCAGAGCCTAAACTGAGTCCTAGGGGCCAGTACATTCAGTAGACGGTGTCTGCAGTTAGATTGAAAGAGGGTGAGAGAATTAGGAAGCTGAGGAGTGGGGAGGCCGCCTCAAGCATGATGTGTGGTGGTGGCTAGAGGTTGGTAAGGGAAGAAAAGAACAAGCAAAGAAGGTTGTCAGAGCCTGTTGAAATAGGGGTGGCTTTGTTTCTGCATAATTAATACCCCTTCAGTTCTTCACCTCACTCTTCTGCCCCCACACTCCATATTAACCACTGTAACACGAGTTGAAAAGCAACTTAAACTGGTTCCACAGAACTGTATGTCAGAAGGTTGACAAGGCCTGTATGAAATGCAAGCGACTGTCTGGCTCATAGAAACCATTGCAGAAGTGTGTTTTATGTGGTAGGTTGTAGAGAGATATTCATGAAGTAAGATTTGTGGACAAAACTCAAGTATAGGAATAACTCACCAGTATCTCTTCTTAAATGGTCAAATGTGAATATTTTCACACCCAAGTGGTGTATAAATAGAACAACTTTTGTGGAGAGCATTTGGTAGAATGTATCAAAGTTCTTTAATTTATATATCCTTTGCTCCCCCTAATTTCATATTTAAAATTTTCCCTAAAAATATTCAAATTTGCATATACTAGCAAAACACTGGAAACAACCTAAACGTCCCACAGTAGAGGATTGCTAAAATAAATTAGGACATAGCCCATGTGGATAATAATTACATGGCTTTAAAAATGGTACATTTTAGACACATTTTTAAATAAACCTTTATTAGAAAAAATAGATAAAAATGTGTGTGAAATGACACCAACACTGATAGTAAATGGGTAAAACATACATTTTGATGATGTATAGATAAAAAAACTAGAGAAATATACCAACATTTTTTATAGTGGAGTTACAGATGTTTCAGGATAATTTCTAAATGCATTTCTTTGCTATAAACATAATGGAAAAAAGAAATAATCTTTTTTCCCCCCAAATAGTAACATACAATAGAAAGTTTCTGACAGGCTATTTAAGAGTTAAAGAACTTAGTCATGATATTTTTTATGTATATCTATATATACTTATTTATACATGTACATTTTAATCATTTGGTTTTACTACTAGTTTCTTTTAGGTATGCTAGGTCTTTTTTTTTTTATTAAGATATTAGTTCTTGGTTTCTTGAAAGCTGTCTTTCTTGTCCTCAAATGCTGATTTTAAAGGCAGTCCTGCAGGGCACCAAGTAGTTCATTCGTGGAGGTGGAGGAACATGCAGCTCATGACCACCTTTCCATTCCCGTCAGCCCCAGCTTTCATCATTCAATTTCCTTTCATTGCTCTGGTCAAGGGGAGGGGCAGACAATTTTGACTTGGAGTACTATTCAGAGACAATTCATTTCTGCCTTCTGTCTTCATGCACCCAAAGGCTCCAGGATTGGAAAGGCCAAGTTCTTCTACCTCATTTTTGGATCAGCTTTCTCCGCCTGCATCCCTGCATGGTGCAGATACAGGTATCAGTTGCTATTATTCACTCATATCTTTATACCTGAGTACAAAGAAAAGATACTAGAAAAAATATTTTAGGAATATGGTATTTTATCAATTACAAATGACTAGGCATGAGTATGGGATCGATGGGAAAGCATTCTCGATTGATTGCATCAGAACCCCATTAACTGTGAAGGGAATGTGAAACTCTAGTTCAGCATTCACGGAAAGTTATTTTCTCTGATAATGTGCTATGATTTGTGCTTGATGTTATCAAAATAAAGAAGAGAGATTTGGGGGGTTAATCACTTTTAATTTAGACTTAATGATTTGCATGTTATTGATCTTGAATGATTTTGTAATAGAAAGACTACTTTATTTAGGAAATTGGAAAAAATGTGAATAGTAAAGCTTAGAAAATTTTGTAAATTAAAATAAAATTTTAAAAGAACAGTGTTGCATTTGCAATGTGTTTTTCATATTTTCTGTTTCTCATATATCATATTACATTGATTAATGTAAGAAGCAAGATACATTTTGAATATTCATTACTTAGTAATTTATTTTTATGTTGATATCCATTGATAAACTGCATTTTTATGGATATTATCTAATGATTGCTTTTAGATGTTTTATTTTAACATAGATATCTCTGGCAACATCATACACAGAAAGATTATTTCTAAAATTGTAAGGTACATTTTTGGGATTAAAAATGCAGCTGTTTGGCTCCAACCTGAGATTTTTATTCAACTCATCTTGCAGGGGACACTGGTTTCTGGAATGTTAACCAATCTGCAATGTCGACTCTCTAGTAATTTTTTTTGCAGATAATGTATGGGATACATTTTGGGAAACACTCTGGTTGAGTCATTTTATAGTTGAAAAGAATTCATGAACTCTTTAACATATGTAGAGTTGAACATACATTTTTTAAGTCAAGATATTTACTTTTTTCTGAATTTCAAAAATATAGAATTTATACGTTTTGAGTTGATAATTTTAAAGGTGTTTTAGTCATTTAGAATGGTACTGATTTTGCCTAACATTTGTGTGTGTATATTGGACATTTTGAGCTAGATTAGCTGAGTAAAGAGGACCCAGCCGATTCAATCTGTTGGTAGATATTTTAAAAAATTCTTTTTGTAGTTTCTAATAATCATGGGCATAATATAATATAAGTTTTTCATATAAATCAGTCTCAGTCCAATGAATGCTTTAGGCATTCAAATTAGTGAAGGAACACACATTCATGTCACAGGCAGACATACACACACGTCTCTTGTTTCTGATGTGTTTCTATAGACTAAAATTTTGAATTTTCTTTAGACAGAAATCATCCTGCTGCAAGGTTTTAATGCAAAACATTTTTTCTCTTCATACTCTAGAGATGAGTGACCAGGAAGTAATTTATTTAACCCCAACAGATCTTCGTTTTCCTTCAGAGTCACCAAAGAGAGTAAGGCCTGGTGGCATCCAAAGGCCTGGGAAAAGTGATGGCAAAGGTATATGTTTAAGTATCTGGGTTCATCTGGCTCTTATGGATTGTCAGACTCTCAAAGTTTTTTTAAAAAGTTTTTATCTGTACTGTAGGTTCTCTGATGGTAATACCTAATCATAAGGGGGATAGTATAGAACACTTTTTTTTTTGTTTGTGAGAATGGAAAAATTAATGAATTCTTTAAATTTGAGAAGCTAATAGAATGTTTTCATTCAAATTTGGTCACAGGAATTTTTGAGGCCTTTAAAAGTAAAGAATAGGCTAGAATCTCAAGAAAACATTGCATTTTTTAGAGAAATAAAAGTCTAAGAGAATGTTTAAGAGATGAAAAATATGATTTTATTCAGACAAAAGATATTTTAGATGTCTTAAAAGTTTACTGGGCCTTGATGGCAATGAAGCTGTAAAGTGTTCAAATCAAAGAGGCATTCTAGTTTTTCTGTTCTCTCTACTTTCAAATATTGTCACAACTAAACTCTAAATTGAGAATAACTTTTACTATTTTAATATAGTGCTGATGATAAGACACAGCTTTCAGACACTGCAAACACAAACATAGGAGGATAAAGACAGCATTGTCTAGTGAAAACTAGAATTGGTGAGAAAGGGAAGTAGATCTCCAGAAATTCCTTTAAGGAAGGACCCCAATCACATTTGCTGCATCAGAATATCCACGATTGGACAGCATTTTCTCAAGATTTTTGACTGCTTTTTCTTTCCTCTGCATGATTGGTTGTGATCACAGCAAGGAAGGAATACACACAACAATGTGGGCGCTGATAAGTGTGTGCTATGTCTTTTGTCATCTGTGCCTTTCTAAGGGGGTGTGCATGTGAAATCCTACAGAACTGCTCTTGTGTGTAGGATTTCTCCAATGGGTGTGCATCAGTCAAAAATCTGAAACTTAAAAATTGTAACTACTAAATACAAATTTAGGGCAGTTTTGTATGATAAAATTTTGTAAAATTTTTAGAGAACAGTTATTGCTTTGTGTCAAATGGTGTTCCAGGGAAGGTTAGTAGTGGGCTAAACTCTATCCCTGATGATTATTATTTTTTCTTTATTTAAAGAGTTTGCAGTACCCTGGTGTCTCATTGCAGTGACTCTTGGGATCCTTTGTTTACTTCTGTTGATTATGGTCATAGTGTTGGGAACAATGAGTAAGTAATTGGAATATATCCTTTAAGTCTGAGTAATAGCACTAATCACCAATTTTGCAAGTAGTAAGAACACTCCATCAATTTTTACCTGACTGTAATAAGGGAATGTTCCTAGTGGCTCTTTCTGGTGATTTTTCCCTGGTCATGTCATGGTGTTATTTTCATGTCACTTACCTATTTCAATGACACTGCAGTTGTAATGAGCTGCCTCATTCTTTCTAATACATGTGGATATTCTTTTTGATGCAGGACTTAGACTATTCTGCATTCTAAGTTTATTTTAGATCATCATGAAACTTAGATAAACATTCTTTGAGAAACAACTGTTCAAAAGAAATTATTCTCTCCTATTTTTCTAAGAATAAAATGAAGAAATGATTTAGTAAAAAGAGTGATTCTGTATAAGGATGTTAGAATCATGAATTCATCAACTTTTATCTTTTATTTGAATTCCTTGATATCTTTAGAGAAAATTACTAATATATCATACTCAGATAAAATGACCTCCTTTCTCCTCTGATAATAATGGTGCTATTTCTTCATGTTTGTTAGTGCAGATTTTCATACTCAGAAGATGTGTTGCTAAATGTTAACTGACTGATTTGTACCTATTTTTAAATAATGTGCTGTTAAAATGAATCTAAAGTGAATGGTAAGGTATTGCCATCATAATTTTATTCAGATCTCTTATGTTATTTATTCTACACTTAAGTTGCTGATAGTGAGAAGTTTGATGTTTCCATTTCTATGGTCAATATACTGAGGTGTTACTTTCTAAATGTCAAATTGCTAATTAAAGAAATGAAATGAGTTGATTGTGAAAGGGACATTTGTCTCTTTAATTTCAACACTTAAGTATTATGAGCACAATTCTGTATAATATCTATTCTGTTAATTTTAGTTTTTCAGTGCATTCAAGAAAAACATCAACAGGATGAAATTCTACAAAACCTCAGGCTAAAGTACCACATTATGCAAAATGACAACTTCACGAAGCAACTTTTGACAAATAAGACTTTATCATGTGACATTCTTAAAATGCCTCAGCAGATAAAGAAACCGGTCTCACTCTTATCAGAAAAGAACAGCTGTCATAGAAAAGAGATGAGCTTTTCAAAATCTATGCAAAATACAGGTATGAGGGCAATCTTAGTTACAGATTGCATGATTTTTCATTATCCCTTCTGTAAAAGCTTCAAAGTTAATAACAAGCTTCTGATATATGCTAGTTATCTAGGTCTACTGGAAAGTTTTAATTTATGCTTCTTAGAAATAATATGAGTATTTGGGGTTGCTTATTTCAAATATGGGGTAGAGATCCCAGGAGCCATGTTTGCATTAGTAGACTTCTGTATTTCCCAAACTTCGATGGCAATTCTCATATTCCTACTGCTCCCCGAAGGTAAAATAGCATGTTAGCTACCCTTAAAACTCAGATAATTTTGCACTTGTGGGCAAATTAGTCATTTTTACTTTGTTGCTGACATTAAACATGAATGCTATAAAAATATAGCCTTATTTTTAAGGTTGAATCATTCTTCAAGTATGTATAGAACACACTTGTTTTTATCCAGTCATCTGCTGATGGACATTTGGGTTGTTTCTGTATCTTGGCTTTTGTGAATAGTGCTACGTTGAACATGGGAGTGTGGATGTCTCTTGGCATTCCAGGACCTCGATGAACCTCATGTCATCATTAGTGATAGCTACTGAGATTCCACTTAGTTATGGAAGGCTGGTAAATATATATGTATAGAAATATATAATTATATATTCATACACAAATATACATAATATAAATATAATCATATAAATGATAATTTCCCATAAATATAATAATCCATAATATAAATTACATTCAATATAATAGTTTATATAAATTATATAAATATAAATCATATATCTGATATAATAAATTATATAAATTATTATTTAATACAATGATTTATGATTATATAAATAATATACAGATAATGATAATAATTATTATTTAAAGATTGTATTTATTTTTAGACAGAGGCAAAGGGAGGGAGAAAGAGAGGGAGAGAAACATCAATGTATGGTTGCCTCTTACGTAGTCCTCGCTGAGGACCTGGACTGCCACCCAGGCATGTGCTTTGACTGGGAATTGAACCAGTGATCCTTTGGTTCACAGCCTGCTCTCAATCCACTGAACCACACCAGCCAAGGCCAAATTATTATTTATAAGTGATATAATAATTTCATTATATAATTACTATATAAATGTTGTATATTATTTAAAAATTTACATAAATAATTCATATATTATATGTAATAGTTTATATAATATATAAATTATGTTACTGGAACCCATATTTTATGATATATAATAATCTATATTACATAATACATCAATTATTATATATAATATATGCATATTATATAATTATTATATAAATAAATATAAATGCATATACATTTTTTACCTATATATATTGCTCTGCTTAACAGAATGCCAGATAACAAAATTTAATGTTTCACATGCTATGTTGTAGGCAAACTCGATAAGGAACACTGGTCCTGTTGTGGAAAAAACTGTTACTTGTTTATCGATGAAGATAAAAACTGGAATGGATGTAAACAGGCTTGCCAAAGTTATGGATTATCTCTTTTGAAGATAGATGATGAAGATGAACTGGTATCATGGACGATTATATTCACTTTTATTCCCCTGGACTCTGTCTGACACCCTCAGACCCAAGATATTGAGCATGGGGGGAGGGACCCAGAAAAAGGGACCTCCTGCTGTTCTTTGTGTTATGTCCGTTGAGTGGACAAAAATCATACAGTTAAGAGTCTCCCAGGAGACTCTGCCCACTAATAGGGACATTGTCTTGTATTTACTAAGCGTTCAAAACATATTATCTATCATGACCATTATCGTGTCCAAAATGGAAACCCCTTTGAGGATGCAGTTTGGGTCTTTGCAATTGTTCCTTCTAAGGAATCTGGAAGGAAACCACTCACAGAGCAAGCTGCCTTTCTGTTGAGGAAGTACTTAGTTTTTTGGTAAACACAGGTTGCAGCCAGTAGTTATTTCTCCCAATAAGGTGGCAACTAAATCTTGGAGTAACATGGTCAAGAGTTACTACAAGGAATCTTGTAGGTTCCTTGACTTGCAGCCAGGCTGCCTGCAGTCAAGTCCAGCTTTGGCACTTACTATTTGAGCGACCTTTGGTAAATGACTTAATCTCTCCCAGCTTCATCCCCAACTGCAAAATGGAGATGATGAGAAACATAAAACTGATAACAGTTTTACAATTTAGCCTCTTGATGATTTTCATTGCAGCTGCAAGCAACATTTACTGGATCAGTATTCCTATATATTGTATCAAGATGAGTATCTTTCAAAAAGAATTGCAAAAGGGTAAAATAGTGACACAATATCAAAGTTATCTATTCAATTTATTACTAATAAAAACTATCCACATGCACACAGTGTATTTTTACAGAGAAATGTTTGCAAAGATCAGCCTTGAAATATATATTTATCATTTAGGAAAACAACACAAAAGTTATACAAAAATATCTAATAGATATTTTAATAGTACAGAAGAATTTATGTTGTCATAAAATATTAAAAACACAGTTAATTTTAAACCTATATTGTAAAACACATTCATTTAATCAGACATTGTGTAATATGTCATTTTGATAAATTACATTTTTGGGCTAGTAAACATTTCTAAATTCAGCCCCTGTGTTCTTTACCCCTTCCAACCACCGAAACACAGCAAGGCTTTCTCTTATGAGGCTGAAGGTGCTAATGTACACCTCCCACCTATGCTTGTTATTTTAATATATTTATTTTGAAGATTTCCTCTTTCATTAATATTTAATAATTATTTTAATATTTAATAATAATAAGCATCATAAATTACTATTTATGTCCTAATGTTTGATATTTTGATTTTTTCCCACATGTTAAATAATCTATGACACTGGCAGCCGTTTTTGACATAGTGATCTACTAACAGAAAATTATGTTGGGAAATGAACACACAGGGGTTGAGGGTAGAAAGGGCTTTCTAGGAAGGAGGCGTGCAGGCCGATGGGGAGAGCAGCGGAGCACCCGCCAACCCGCCAGCGAAACAGCCGGCCGCTTTTCCTGTCCTCTTCATATGCCTAACAGAGGGACCTTTAGTCACATGGTATGTTTTGATTTTTGATAGGCCTTCCTTCAACAGCAGACTTATACAAATAACTACTGGATTGGATTATCATATAACGAAGGGAAACGTACATGGGAATGGATTGGCAATGGCACATCTGGAATGTAAGTCTCTGGAATGCATTTAAACTCTAGCATTGCTGTTGGGGTTGGAAGTATTATATATAAAAGTATCTTCTCTCATTTCACATAGCTTAACTCATTTTCAAGTAGAGGTGATTGTTGAGAATAGGTAGAATGATTAAGAAAGTGTTTTGGGAAATGTAGTTGAAAAGGAAGAGAAGTGTAATATAGAGTTATTAATAATAAAATTGTGTGCTAAACACATGCTTGGAAGAATATGTGTTATTAGGCACACAAAATTAAACACAGCCACGAAGTGATGTGAAGTGATTGGATCATCCTGATTTAGCTTTAGTGGCCCCTCCCATAATCACAAATGAGTATTCCGAGCATCCCAATTCATCTGAAACTTCTTTATTAGTTTATGTACGTGTTTACATATTATTTATAAATATGTGTGAGTATACACACAGACACTCCTTTACTATAGTTGTATTAGAAGTATAGTATTTTGTAAACTCTTAGGTTTACATGAAGAATAATCTGCTATTAAACTGTTTGATGATTTTTTAAAATCTTGACTATTATATTTTTGCTTCTAGGAATTCTGTTTTCAAATCTCCATGCTAATTACCCATTTTTTCAAGATGTCTTTATTTTCTTGATAATAGTAAACATACTTATTTTATACTTGGTATGTAATAATTCTAGTATTTTAAGTTTTCTGGGTCTAATCTATTGTTTCTGCTGGTATTTGCTCATAATGCCATTTTTCTTTGTAGCGTTTAGTGATTTTTTTCCTTTTTGAGCTGCTGTGGAAAGTATTTGAGAACTGACATGAAGGTGACTTTCTCAAGAAAGAATTTGCTTCTGTTGGAGGCCTTGAGGCACTATGAACATGGGCCACTTTAATTCTAAATGTGGGCCCTGAAAGTCATGTAGTTCTGGGCTGCAAACCGACACAAGACATGATGCAAGAAATTACCTTGATGTACTCATAGTCTGTGAGTGCACTTCAGGCAACTGTCTCAGAGGTCACAGAGTGGAAAGGTCATGGGTCATTGTAAGACACTCAATTTTTTTTGAAATGATAATGATTATAATATTTACTGAGTGTTCACTACCTGCCAGGCACAGTTAATGCATTTCCATGAACTGATTTGATGCTTACAAACACTAGACGATGTGGGTCCTATTGTTACACCCATTTACTGATGAGGAGACTGAGAGTGAGACACTAAGTATTTTGCTCAGCATGATATTCAAGAGTCTGCCTTTTAACCAGTTTGAGAATTAGAAAAGGAGACGCTCAAATTTTATGGTAAATTAAAGCAATTTAAAACACATCATGCTCCGCAAGGGGAAAGAAATGAGATAGCGTAGCACACTTGTGTGGGGCGGGATAGCTTGCTTGTCACACGAGGATAAGGTGCAAGTACATGAAAGGATCACTTGCATCCTGGGCCATGCAGTCTTCCCATGGCCCGACTCTCCTTGCTGCAAAACTCTTTCCTGATCTGACGATGGTGTGGTTTCTAAAACCAGACTTGTCGTTTGAGTAACAGGCAGAAGAGATGATGAGTGTTCACAACTCTTCTGTACTAGGCACACAACTTTTTCTGTACTAGGGAGATGCAGGAGCATGTTAAGCCTGCCCACAGCTGCAGCTTTCCAATTAACCTAAGGAGCAGCTATGGATTTTGTTTGTGTTTCTGGGGCAGAGAGCCAGCATAAGTATTGCCAATGATGACAAACTTAAGACTTCATGAATGCTGAGTACCTATGTGCTTTATGTACATTTTATATATGATAGTCTTGATTCTTTTCTATGTTCAGCACACAGGAGCTCTAGTTACTGTATCTATTCCTTAACACGTCTCCCAGTTACTTATCCATATTTCACTTACCTTATGTGTTTGGTCACATCTCACAAGCCGTCTAGTTTCATTTACCTTGTTTGTTTCCCTTTTTTCCCACCAGATTTGAATATTCTTAAATAGGGCAGCAAATGCAAATTACATGAGGGATGGTTTATGATTTTGGATTCTTTTGTGGGATTATTCTTTTGCTCTTCTGTTTAAATCTCAGGTTCAAGACAGTTCTGGGGTGTTTATACTGAAGATGTATCCCTTTGGCCTCAACCCTATGCACTTCTCTCCTATTTAGAATGGTGGGTGAAATTCCTTATTCAGCCTCCACAACTAGTTAAGGGAAAACTGGCTACAGCTCTTCACTTACCCTCCTGGGTTCCCACCTTTACTCAGTCATCCTTGGCCTGAGTGTGAATGTGCTTCTTGTCTGTCAGTTCATAAATTTATTCAAGAAGGTTTAATTTTTTTTGTATTCAACATTTTTCATTGTTTTTAATAGAAAGGTTTCTGGCACCTAATCCACCATTTTTCTGAAATAGAAGTCCTGCTTTTAGATATTTTTCAATAGATTGCCATGTTTTAGTTAATGGTTAGCTATGGGATTGAGAAGAAAAAGAAACAAAAGAAATAAAAATATTGATTAAACAGCTTCATTTCTGATTATATTTCAGTTCTACTTTTTTCTCCATAAAGTATATACACATGTGATGTGGTTATCTGTTTTACAGAAATTCAGTTCTTGTCTTTTTAATCTCTTGCTTGTATTGAAAAGAATAACATAAGAAAACATGTTTGCTATGTCATAATCCCATAGCAATATTGCAAGTAATTTTGCCTTCTGGCTGAAAATTTCCAGTGTGGAATAAAATGGGAGATTATGGGTGTAATTAAGAGGCTATGTGAGATTCTGATAGGTTAAGAGCACAAGATAATCTTTTAGTGATGAAGTTATGATTAACTTTTACCTACTTCTAATCTTTAGGCAACTGACTTAAAAATTATGACTCATGTTATTGTGAGCTTCAGAATTAAGCAACGGACTATATATGTTTCCTGTTTTACAGTAATCATGCGATAATGAATTTGACTTCTGGGAGAGGACAATGTGCATTTTTAACATCAACGAGGTTAGAAGCCATTGAGTGCTTGAAAACCTACAATTGCATCTGTGAGCACAACATTTCCCCTGCTTTGGATGCACTAAAAAGAAAAGGTAAATGGAGATTTGTCATTTTTAGTGTGTTTCCTGTTATAATATGTGGTTACTTAACAAATTAATGTTCTTGACTGCAGGACAGTCTAATTAAAACACAGATGAGCAAGACGATAAGAAAATCCTCTTCTGGATAATGATGTGGGATATCAGACATCCTCGATCTTCTTGGAGAAGAGGAGATTTTTTGCCTTTGGAGAGCAGAAACCCTTCTCTTTAATGAGCCTGTGGAATTATTCACTCTCTTTCCCTGCACTGCCCACAGAACCAATAGAAAACTCATAAATACCTGGGTTTTCTCCTTATTTTTAGGATAAACCATTTCAATAGTCTCCAGCTTTGAGAGATAGCACAATTAAGAACAAGAGCACAATTGTGATAGCACAATTAAAAATATAGGTATCATTTTCCCCCATCTAGCTGCTTACCTCCCATCTTAAAAATATATTTTGCCATAATTTCAAACTTGCTGAGTATCTCAAACAACACTTTAAGGAACTCTCCTATAACCTTTACCCACAGTTAGCATTTGTTTATATTTTACTATCTGAACTTCATTGAATTCTCTCTTCCTCTCTTTCCCTCCCATTGCTGATTCATTTGATAATTAATTGAGAATATTATGTCTCTTTATCTAAATATTTTACTAGAACAAGGACTTAGTCTTGGATAACCATAGCAAAATTATGAAAATCAGGACATTTAGCATTGATGTAGTACCATGGTTTTGTCTACAGTCCATATTTAAATTTTGTCAACTGTGTCCATGATGTTATTTCCAGGTGTTTTTCCTCCATACTCAGGATCATGCAGTGTATGCAGTCCTGATGTCTCCTCAGTCTCCTTTCATCCGGAACAGTTCTTCATGCTTTTGAGAACTTCCTTGATCTTCCCATTTAAAAGAATCAACTCTATGGAGTTATACTTTGCATGCAAGAGAAAATCAAATTTCAGTGGGTTCCTCATTTCACAGGAGAGGGAATTCACGCTGAATTAAAAATATAATTAGGTTGTTTGGCAAGTGGGGATGGATTTAGGAAAAGCAGGGTGGAGAGGTCAGAATCATTTGTTCTTATCATTCGGGCATCACCGCATACAGAGAATAATATGCTGTGCTATGGAATAAGATGGTTTTTAGGATTAAAAACAAAACAAGACAAAACAAACAGGAAACTTTGTGATTTGTAGCTTCAAAATAAAAGGGTCTTCCTCTGGCCAGGTCACTCAGATGGTTAAAGTGTCCTCCTGATACACCAAGGTTGCCGGTCCTATCCCTGGTCAGGGCACATACATGAATGAACCAACAAATAAATCAGTAAGTAGAAAAACAAATCAACCTCTCTCTCTGTTTCCTCTCCTCTCCCCCCATCCTCTCTCTCTTTAAAATCAATCAATAAAAATTTTTTAAAAGGGCTTTAAATCTCTCAGGCAGTCATACTGTAGCTTTTCAGCTGAACTCTTGCTTACAGCTCTGCCTTTACATATTCTGACCTATTATTTAAATTTTTTTCTAATCATACTAGGAGGGTAGGATCATCTTTGGTGTTAACCTTATAGGTTTGTTCCCTGCAAATTCTCCATCCGTCACTGGCACAGCAGCATCCCTCGAGCTTACAGAAGACTACAGCAAATGGTGAGAAATTCCCACAGAGACGTCACTGAAGAAAGACTTTCAAAGGAATTCTCATATAAGAGGCAGAACATTTACTCAAATATGATTTTTATTGACAACTAATTCTCACATGTTACATGGGATGTTTAAATTGTCATGATTTTTTTTCTTAAGCTGTAATGGAGAAGGCTTTCCTTTCCCCATATCTTATCTCAATATATTTCTCTACTTTCCAGAAATGACTGAGGGGGGTATTTACACAGAAGTAAATGTCCTCTTGATGAAAGGAAGAAAATATAGTCCAGGACTTCTTACAGAAAATATGAGTTTGTTAAGCATCTATTTCCACAAAATCCTAAAACCATAGGTTTCAGTAGGACCTTTACATGTTTCACAGTCACACTAATTCATGAGTTTCTCTCTGTAATGTCCCTGCCAAGATGTTATCTACCATGTTTGAACACCTTCGGGAAAATATTACTCATTTCTTTCCCAAGGTAGTCAATCACAGACTTCAACTGCTCCTGGAATATGTTTCTTCATTCTGAATCAAGACTTCCTTCTTGCCTCTGATGTGAACAAACACTACCTGTATGTCTTTAGCTGGTGAAAAAGAAGTAATTCTTCTGCTCTGCACACTGACTTCGGAGGCTGGGTCCAACGTCTCAGAAAAGCAGGTCATCATCTCTTCCTGAGTTTGTGAATTAATAACATTTGAGAAGTTGCAGGACAGATCACCTTGTTTTATTTGACATAGAGTTAATACATATCTTCTATTTATAAGCTTTTTGTTATTCAGGGGGGTTCATACTAATGCGAACACACTGCGCAGCGCCGCCTGGGCCTGTACCACCACTCCTGCAGCGGCTCTCATCCGCTGCCCTTCACCGGAGCCGAGTGGGTGCTGTGCGTCGGCTCATTTCCCACGTCTGCAGTGGCCTTCCCAGTGGACGGGCTGAAAGGAAAGGTCTTGGCCTTTATGGTTTAGGAGAGCTTCTGGAATCTTCTTGCTTATAAAGCTCTGATTTGTAATTGTTTTTGCTCTTGTAGGTATAGCAGTTGTAAAATAACATCAAAGAAAATAAAACCACATGTGTCATTTGCTGCCAGTGGCATTTGGAAGGGGAACTCAGAACCAACATGAATCCTTTCCTTCGAATATTTTAAGGATTCATTAAATGTTACAATTTTGTACATTAGCCACTTATTCTTAGATATTTTAGGAAGTCATTATTTGTTGACAGACATTTATATATATAAAAATTGAGGGTAGATACACCCATTAAGTAACCCTGAGGCAGATACTGCAACACATTCATGGCAGGTTTCATGAAAAGATTTTCTTAAACTCATCTTTTTCTGTGTCTTTGTTGAGCAGTGTTCCACATCACGCTGCATCATCTCCAAGAATTGTAGGCTTCTGTGTTTTTTGACCCATGTAACTAATATTCATTTGTTTTGGAACACTGCTGCACTAATATTTTTAACTTATACATGCATTTCTTCATTTGCTTTATCATCCCCATCTGCTCTCACTTTAATCTAATCACAAACTGGTTGTTGCAAGTCGACCGTGTTCCTTGTGCTATGCTGGCTGCAGTGACACCTAGAGGGCACTGTGTTTTGCTTGTTGCTGTTTATTGCATTGCTTCCTTTCACTAATAAAAAAATCCTTGAGTGGAAATTATGATCAAATACTTATCTCAGTGCATTTGAGATCTCAAGGGAGACCAGTGTGAAAGGCCATTGCAGATCGTGAGGTGAATGACAGAAAATGACAATGGAGATGTGGTTGGAGGCCAGATAATGAGATAATTTTGGTTGTTCATCTTCAGTTCAAAAAGAAGTCATTACTAGCTTTTTACAGAAGAGGGAAGAAATAGCCAGGGCTCTTGGGGATTTAGGTGATTTCACATTTTGAAGAGGGAAACATCAAGTTGGACCAGGAGTGTCTCCTTGTTTTCAGCACACAAGGAAACAATGAAGACGAGGTACATGGGAGTCAGCTTGAAGGGCTTTTCTGGGGCAAGTTGCGACACCCTGAGCATTTATAATAATAAATAAACAATTAAAATGAATGGAAATTTTACCCTGATGTGTTTATGATGATACTTAAAAAAGTTTGTAGATATAGGTAGTTGTAATCTGAAAGCCAAACTATAATACATATTTTTCAATGTTTTTATAATAAGCTAATAATTCTATTAAGTGTTGATATAGCTAAATAAATTTGTTTCTTGTTTTTAAATATATGTGTGTTTATAAATTATAGACCAGTATTTGTTTTAGCTGCATAAATAAAGGAAAATATTGGGAACTGTAAGTCAAACAGTCCAGAAAATGCAGAACTAAAAGCAGGATGATCGTATACAATAAGAAAGTAGGGAGGGGGAAAGAGTACAATTTTGTGTCTTAAAATAATGACTTAGCCAAGTGCCTTACATAGGGAGCTAAATGTAAAACTTTGATGCGCCATTTTTCTGCCCATCCGGAGTCTTACAGCAACGTTCCCTCCCACGTGAGCCAAGGACACAACCTGCACAGGCTCGCTGTGGCTCTTCTTTAAAGTGTACGTAAGTGGGACATGCGATAAAATGAGGGGAAATGGGCTTATGGGCAACTTTTTTAATGTGACCCCATTTTAACAGGCTTTCACAGACTAGCAGATGCTCAAGATGTGATGGGCCTGCTGGTACAGGTGTGGCATTTTTTATCACCTGTTTCTCCTCAGCTGTATTTTTCTGTTTTTCTTGTTGCTTTTTAACCCCCAGAACACTATAATGTAGTGGACTGGAGGGATCTCTCCCATAAACAGCTTGGCTGTCTTTGGGACCCGTGTGGCATCTGAAAACTGAGCTGAGAACCATTTGGGCTTTTCTTCCTCCACGTTTTGCCTGATGCCATTTTGACAGAATATGTGCTCTCAAGTGAACCCTTTGCATTTCAGAAAGATCAAGAAATGTGGTCAGCCTGATCTACAACGACTTGATCCTTCCCTTTGGTAGTGTCGGCAGCAGCCCAGCCCTCGCAGGACTGGGTTCCTGGCCATTGCACACTGTGTGACTTTCTTGATGGGTGACCTCTTTGAGAACATAGTACCACCTGTGGGTTAGCAGGGTTTTGGCCAGGAAATTATCCTCGTGGGTTCTACTCAATGGCTTAGTAGAAGGAATTTAAAAAAATATAATTCAGTTTAACTAATGAACAAGTATTTACTAAATAAAATAAAATAAGGATGATTCAAATTACAAAATGAGTAAATATTATTTTCCATTTACAAAAGCCTTTGGTCAAATTAGCAGTGATGATGGTGCTTTTCTGTAACCTTGAGGTCAAGCATTGTACTCATCTCTGGCTTCAGTCCTTGGTAGAATAGTCACTAGATGAGAGGTGCCCCAGAAATTCAGGTGAATGAATGAATATAGTTTTTTAAAAAGATTTTCTTTCTTTATTTTTTAGAGAGACAGGAAGGGAAGGAGAAAGAGAAGGGAGAGAAACATCAATGTGTGGTTGCTCCTCACATACCCCCAACTGGGAACCTGGCCCACAACCCAGGCCTGTGCCCTGACTGGGAATCAAACCAGC